TACAAGTATTTTTAATATTTTCTAATTTTATTTTTAATAATAAAAAAATCTCTGTAAAATATTATATTTTAATAATATTAAATAAATAATTTTATAAGTTTAATTTAAGAATCCTGTATTTTAATACTAACTTATTATTATTAATAAACTTTTATAAATAAAATTTATTTAAATATAGAATTTAACTTTTTTTAATTATTTTTTTAAAATTATAATTTTAATATTAAATACTGCAGCACACGCTTGCTTAGAGAATTATTAATCTTAATTAGAAATCTTATAAATAAGCTCTAGTCTTTTATCTTTAAAGAAATCCTTTATATATCTGAATAATTTTAATTTTAATTAAATTAAGTAAGATTAAATATTATGTATTGTAGAGATTTAAAGCAGTAAGGATTACGGGCAGTTCATTGTCCCGGCAGTTCATTGTCCAATTACTTTATAAAATGAACTGATTTTATTATTATAAATAATTTTTTATTCTTCTTCTAGATTCAAAAGTTTTTAGTAAATATACAGACCTTCAACAGGATCCTCTATCATTATAGTTTATAGGCTCTCACAATAAGTGCCCTGCAGGCATTGTTTAATCTACTTATATGAAAATAAGCTAATGATACTAGTCAAGTATTTCTACACTTACTGACTTATTAAGAATAAGACATCCCTAAAAAGATGTTGAGTACACAGCAAAGTAATATACATAGCTACTAAGATAAAAGACTCACGATAATCAATATCTTAATACAAGGAATCGAGAGGCATGTCTCATAGCATTGCTTATATCAAAGTTTTACTCCACTTCGGCTGCGGTTTTCTCTAACCGGACCTGTCCCTCTTTACTCCACAACAATCCCCCCCCCCTCCCCCCCCACAACTGGTATTACACCCGCAGTGATCTGTTTGGCAACCGAGCCTCCCAGCGCCGGGCTCTGGTTTCCATCTAAATACATAACGCCGTGTATTCTTATTTCCATTTCACCTATACCTTTTAAACCATAACTGTTGGTGAGTGATTAACAAAGGCTTGTCACCACTAAAAGGAAACCTCTTGTCTCTCGAATACACGTATGCATAGCACCTTCACGAGCCTTTCTTTCATATGCGTTTTTTGCCAAATCATCCTGTTTTTAGGCCAACGGAAGTGCACTGGATCCCAACAAGTCACGATAGACCAATTATCCCATGGCCTATAGACAATATACCGGATGATCCGCATGTACCCTATTTAAGTCGTCTCGCTATAGGTACTAGTACTTCGATCCCTCGAGCTGCCTCTATTGGCTGCTCTTTGAATTCAATGTTGCTCATACTAACTAACCCCTGGATAGGCCCTATCCAGTACGTCTGTCACATAGTGGCTAACTGAATTCGTGTTCCCCACATCTTGCTACTATCAAATTGATTTACCTCGGTTTCTTGCGAAGGACCCAACGTCAGCTTGGACCGCCACCGGTCAGGTCGATGCATCAATTCGGACGGGCAAAGTGCAGACTACAAAATGCCCCAATCACCAATGTCCAACACTATTCAGGTATGACTATAGAGGTTATCATATACATCGCCAAGCTCACGACTGTTGTCGTCTTAAAAGGACCATTTCACGGAGAAAACGCCAAGTTTTATCAATAAAACCAGGTCTAGAATTTCCGAACCCGTTGTTGCTGCTTTCATAGCCGGAGGAGTAGCGGGTGCAGTGTCGAGGACACTTGTATCACCACTCGAACGTCTCAAAATCCTTCTCCAGATTCAGAGTGTCGGCAGAGAGGAGTACAAATTATCAATATGGAGAGCTCTCGTCAAAATCGGAAAGGAAGAGGGATGGAAAGGCTTCATGCGCGGAAATGGTACAAATTGTATTCGCATCATTCCTTATTCGGCGGTTCAATTCGGCAGCTATAATTTTTACAAAAAGGTGAGTTGAATATGAATTCGTACAGGCTTTGAGATTGTATACCCTGAGTGTACAAGGATTTGAAGTGCGAATATATAAGCCATAAAGGACGACTAGGTTGGAGGCTTGATTAACGAAGCACTCTAGTTCGCGGAATCTTCGCCAAATGCCGAGTTGTCAGCCATGCAGCGTCTTCTTTGTGGTGCCGCTGCCGGCATCACGTCTGTGACAATCACCTACCCTCTTGATATTGTCAGAACTCGACTCTCCATCCAGTCAGCGTCATTTGAAGCTCTCAGTCACCGAGGGGTTGGCGAGCAGTTACCGGGCATGTTTACCACCATGGTATTGATATATAGAAACGAAGGCGGCATCGTAGGTCTTTACCGTGGCATTATACCTACTGTTGCTGGTGTCGCCCCTTATGTCAGTAAGGCCGGAACACTCATACGATACCCACCTGTGGCTAAGTGCATTTAGGTCGGCCTCAACTTCATGACGTATGAATCTGTCCGCAAGTATTTGACACCTGAAGGCGATGCGACACCAGGACCCCTGCGTAAACTACTTGCCGGTGCAGTGTCCGGCGCAGTAGCACAGACATGCACATACCCATTGTAAGCCTCACCAGAAAACATCGATTCTTCTCCCTCATCATGGTTAGCTAATATGAAGGTCACGGCTCAGCGATGTCCTACGACGCCGCTTTCAGATTAACACGATGTCTGGGATGGGATATCAATATGCATCAATCATGGACGCCGTAAAGGCCATTGTGGCACAAGAGGGCTTGCGGGGCCTGTTCAAAGGAATCGTGCCAAATATTCTTAAAGTGGCTCCCAGTATGGCTAGTAGTTGGCTCAGCTTCGAGTTGACCCGGGACTTTCTAGTGAGTTTGGAGGAATAATAGATATGACATCAGTAAATATGGCCATGGCACCAGAAGGATTACATATCACACCTGACAAATAAAACATTCTTCTATTTTGAAAAAAAAAAAAAAAAAAAAAAAACCAAAAAAAAAAATTCATTGTTTTGTTAGGTGACGGTTCGTATTATATACCCTTTTTAGCCTTACTGCATGCAATGCGCCATTTTCTTGGATCGAGCGATGACTGTGTTCGGCAAATCTCTCCCAATATAGGTATGAATGTGGAGACAACTGAAAAATATTATATCGGTATGGAAGCCTCTGCAGGGCATTGTTTGATGTAAGGACTGCAACTACGTATTGAAATATGAGATAGCTGACAAAGTAAGTCGAGTGAGCTGGAGTGGATTGTGCTAGACTATGCGGGGCAAAAGGTGGGAAAGATGCAACATATTTATGGATCATAAGCCTACACTATGAAATTTGGTAGAAGAGCAAACCCCTACAAATTAAGAAAGATGTGTGGTCTAGAGGGGAACCGGAGGGATCGCTCATTGATAAATCAACAGCATGTGAGGTCAACGTCCAATGATGAATGATAGCAGGATAAATGGAGCTCCCCACTAAAACTATAATTTATTTAGCACACAGTGCTAGGATAGTCGGGATCTAAACTGGAGTAACTGATACAATGAGCGGTTGATGCCTTGTATATTGGGCATCAAATGGTCTTGGCTACCGTATGTGGACTAGGGTAGGGCTCAACCCGCACACACCGTGCATCTGAAAATCGTAGATTGAAAACCTCACCAGCTTCACCTTGACTACGGGTGCGATAGCCAGTCAACTTTCAGGTGTCCCATCAATAACAGCAGCCATGGGTATGTTCAAATCGACGTGGTGATATATTCATTTGCTGAAGAATTTCGCGGGTTGCGACTTTTTTTTTTGGCTCAACACCATGGACATTTCCTGTTTTCACTTGGCAAATACTGATTTTGGGATACAGGTATCGACTTGGACCGCCACCATGTGCGCGGCACCCATCGCAAGGCGCCCAAGAGCGAGAACGTCTACCTGCAAGTCTTGGTGAAGCTCTACCGATTCCTCGCCCGTATGTCTCCGTCTTCTGAGTGCAGCCGATTTCAGCAATGGGAAACTGATTGGTGGTGGTATTTTTACAGGTCGTACGGAATCCAACTTCAACAAGGTCGTCTTGCGCCGCCTTTTCATGTCCAGGATCAATCGCCCCCCCGTTTCGCTCTCGCGCATTGTATCCAATGTGACCGACTCCCACAAGGGCAAGACTATCGTTGTGATCGGCACCATCACTGACGACAACCGTCTTCTGACTGTCCCGAAGCTGTCTATTGCAGCACTTCGTTTCACGGCTACTGCTCGGGCCAGGATTGAGAAGGCTGGTGGTGAGGTCTTGACTTTGGACCAGCTCGCTCTGCGTGCCCCTACTGGAGCAAACACTCTCCTTCTCCGCGGACCTAAGAATGCTCGGGAGGCAGTGAAGCACTTCGGTTTCGGCCCCCACAGCCACAAGGCATGTTATATACTCTTCGCGCAATATATGGTTTGCATAACTAACCTTGAAACAGAAACCCTACGTTCGCAGCAAGGGACGTAAGTTCGAGAGAGCCCGTGGACGCAGAAGGTCTCGCGGTTTCAAGGTGTAAGGAACGCTGGTTAAATATTTTCCGTTTCTTGTGTTTGGTAGCGGTTCATCGTGCTGGTGAAGACGACTTGCGGAATCATGCATACCCGGGAGTCTTCCTTATCGGCCGTTGCTCCAACTTTTTTAGAACGCCCGATGCCAGACCAAATATTATGAGGGTTCCAGGCGAGCTTAACTGGATGAAAATGAAAATGGAGTTATATCATTGAATACCTATAAATTTCTCTATATCTTCTTTTCTACTTATCAGAATGGTAGAGCTTTGTGTTTCCATTTTTTACCCCCAGCACCATCAAAGTAGTCTCCTGCTCTATGCCCATCTCCACGAATGAGGTACCTGTAAATTGTGAGGCCATCTAGTCCCACAGGGCCTCTGGAGTGAATCTTATTGGTGCTGATCCCGACTTCTGTGCCAAAGCCATACCTCATACCGTCTGCAAATCTCGTTGAAGCATTCCAGAAAACACCAGCACTGTCGATGCTGCTCATGAAGTAATCCGCAGTGGCCTTCGAATTGGTCAAAATTATGTCGGTGTGTTTTGAGGAATGGGTATTGATGTGGTCAATCGCTGCATCAACACCTGAACCGGGAGCAGATGTAGGTATCGTTTTGATAGCAAGGATGAGATCCAAAAATTCTGTGTCATAGTCGGACTCAACGGCATCCAGGATAGAACCCATTTGCGCAGGCTCTAAAGTATCGGCTAGCGCACGTTTCGAGGATTCGTCACACTTCAGAGTAACGCCCTTCGCCACGAGGGCTCTGGCAACAGTAGGTAGTATGGTCCTCAAGACTGCTTCATTCACCAGCAGGGTCTCTAGAGAGTTGCAAGCGGCAGGATAATCCGTCTTGGAATCCACGAGCACTTTGACAGAAACTTCCGGGTCCGCGTCATGATGTATGTAAGCGGAGCAAAGGCCGTCTGCGTGGCCTAATACTGGAATTTTGGTGTTGTCTTTGACGAAGCGAACAAGGTCATTCGAACCGCGAGGGATGACTAGATCAATCAAAGTGTCCTGGGCCAGCAATGAAGAAACTACATCTCTGGTCTGTACGAGCTGGATGGAGGACTTGGGAACACGAGTGCCTGATATGGCCTGGGAGATCACCGTCGATATTGCGACAAAAGATTCGGTTGATTCTTTCCCACCTGTTATTATGGTCAGCAATGCATGAAGATTCAAAGCGGGTATGTAATCGGGACCAACCTTTCAGGATAGCCGCATTGCCAGACTTGATAGATAAGGCAGCAATATTCGCGATCACCTCAGGGCGAGCTTCGAAAATTATCAACAACACCCCAATGGGACAGCTCACCCTCTCCAAAGTAATTCCGTCATCGAGCAGTGTCCTCAGAGTCACATTTCCAACTTCGACAGGTCAGAACGCGTACTTTGAATCAATTGAACATTCTTACTTGGATCGTTCAAACCCCGCACACTGAGGATTCCTTGCAACATATCATCATATTTCCCCGGCCTTGATAAGTCAAGCCTCTTCAATACGCTGGAATTCAAATCACCATCCTCCGCGGCACGGCTTGCCAATGCGACATCCTTTGCATTGGCGGCCAAGATGGCGTCCTTATTAGCCAAAAGACCCTCATAGAGCGCCGTTAATGCTTCATTGCGCTCGGCGTTTGATAGGACCGCTAGCCGCCGAGCAGCTACGGATGCGGCGCTTGCGATACTGCCGGCAGAAGACTGTGTAAGCGACATTTGCTGGGTTTCGATTATAAGAAAGTAGGATATCGGGTGAGAACGCGGGAGGTGAGGGGTCACGGATTGAAGTCGGTAACATTACCTAATCCACCAGGGACGTGGTGTGTAACCTTCAGTCCAACATACCCTGAGAAGTATCCGTCTCGGCCTCTCTGGCTAATTAACCACCAGGTTCATACTTGGCACTTTCGGAATTTTATCAGAAAGGGACCAGCACATGTGTATCTATCATTAGGCCTGTTGACCACGGGGATTGCTGCTTCTAACAAGTTATACTTTGAAATGACACATAGCTCACTTTGGGTTTTTCAGTTCTCGGCCTCATGCCTACAACATCTGCTCTGATGTGCTGTAATGACCAATTCTGACCTACAGCATCATCGGTTTGAATGTGAAATCGATGTCAAACTCTTCCATTTCGCCTTGAGTACTACTATGATTCCTAGTCTTTACATAGTTGAAGCTGGCTTCGGATATGACAGACTTAGTGCTGCACAAACTGTGTGTGTGTGTGTGTGTGTGTGTGTGTGTGTGTGTGTGTGTGTGTGTGGCCTTTGATGCCAGAAAAGACTGTCTTATGGGTAAGTGAAGTGGAGCATCAGTAAGTATTTCATGTACTACTACTGTATTACTATCCTCCCCATTATGTTACTGGGCCAGTTGGTCACGAGTAAGCTAGTCTGCTCTATTTATTAGCTGTTGTAGCCAAGCTGCGTGCACTGTGTATGAGGTAATAAATGGGTAGTACTGTTAACCACTCCCCTCAACGACCCGCCGCGCTTATCTTTCGTCCCTTATTTGTACTCAACTAGCCACTACTCAGTTACAGGTCAACAACCCAAAGAAGATGGCAGAGATTCTCTCACATCTCACATCCGCCTCGTCCGAACTTCGTTCAGTAAATAATACGCGCGATGAAAGATATGACACGCAAATCCGTGACCTGGTTGCATACATCAAGAATTGCGATAAGAATTCTGACACTCAATATCTCCTAGATGTAAGCACAGTCAGAATCTTCACGGGTGAAAGTGGAAGAGCATGGCTAGTGGGTTCTTATGCAAGATGGTATAAGCCATGCTTACGAATATGACCATTTACCTCGCAGAATCTCCATCCATCACTGCACACGTTATCCTACCTGTTGATTCTTAACCTTCACATCGACAATCTACAAATAAGGGCGAAGGAAAACCTGCCGGATGAGATCAAGCCCGGGAATGACTTGTGGACTAGAGTGGCCTACTTTCTCCAACATTTTGATCCCATCCAGGTACGGTATGCTGGCCATGAGTGGCGCCGACTTGTTGAACTCCTGGCACAAGCTGCCGAAGTTACTGCAAAGGTAGGCTCACTCCAAGCCAATGTGCCAACGTGAACTGTTTCTTTGCTTTATAGTTGACCTCCAATAGCCGTTCCTAGCGGTCCAAGTGATGAAAGAAGCGTTGCTTCGACTCAACTCACCTGGTATCCTTACATCATTACACGTTACGTTCCTCAGACTTTCTCTTCTTTCCAAGTCTTATCATTATGCTTTACCGGTTATGGAAAGATGGATATTCCAGTTTCCCGCCAGTTCAGTCCAAGCCTACCGCAAGCATATCAGTCGTCCCTTGTGTTCCGAAGACACTTTTGGCGACACTTTCATCTCCGATGCATCTGGCTTCTCTGCAAAGCTGACATATCGAGATCATATGAGATTCTTCCTGTATGGCGCGATGATTTACTTGGCCCTGAAAAAATGGGATAAGGCGTTACATTGGCTAAGCGTCGTCATATCGTCCCCTGTCAATGACTCTGTCAGCAAAATCATGGTTGAAGGCTATAAGAAGTGGGTATTAGCTAGCTTGCTAGCGCATGGAAAGGTAGTCAGAATGCAACGAAACATCCAACATACGCTTATGACTGACATACGCTGTTGTTATAGTTGATCTCATCGCCTAGAGTGATCTCTGCACACGTTCTGAAAGTATTCCAAACGTTAACAAAACCTTACGCATCCTTGGCAGACGCTTTTGAGAGGGGCGACCTTCCAAGGTTGAGAGCTGAAATTGATATTGGTCGATCTATTTGGCGTGCTGTATGTTAGCAGACGAGGGTACATTTATCAACATAGCAGATAGGCTGACCTTCTTCTAGGACAATAACGAGGGCCTGGTTTCTCAGCTGTTCCATGCCTACAATTCGTTCCTTGTTATGAAGCTAGGAAGAACTTTCTCGGCTCTCACTACAGCGGATGTGGCACAACGCACACTTGCGCCGTTGGCATTCTCTGCGAGTATCGAAGAGTTCGTGGCGTTGCTCGTAATGTCTGGCACCCTCAGCGCTACTCTACTACATCTACATGGTCAAGCAGATGCAACAATGCTTCGGTTTCTTGCGCGCAGTGAATCTTACTTATATGGAGAGATATCCATGCGAACACGCTTGGTCGAAGAGGCTCGGGTACTAGGTCTAATAACGAAAGATGCTAACCAATGTAGCAGTGAGTTGCAGCTGGGAAACGAGAGTCTCCAAATCCTATCTAGAAATCAGAGGTGGCCTGATGCGTCAAGGGTCAGTGGCGATGCTGTTGGAGAATCAGATGGTGGTTTGGACATCGATGAAGACATTATGGGAGATGGTACCTGAAGTACAAGGAAACATCAGTGAATACCATGCCGACCTTGACCATATCCAATAGCGGAACTAGAAACAGGGCTCAAGCAATGTGTAGCCCAAGCCGAATTTTGCCAACAGTCCTGTATTTGTATGGTCCGCCTATCATGGCGCGCTCGGTACATCAATTTATGCTGTCTCCTGTTCAGGTCACTGCCTCTTAGGGGATATGTGGGTATCATTAATAACGGCTAATATGGAAGCTGCGGCGTCTACCATGACTATAGCTATCTTACCCCAGAGTAAATCAATTATATACAGATATGGCCATAGTATGAAGCACGTATTAATGGCCCTAGCTTAAAAATCTACACAAATCGCGTGGCAAATGAATAAATTACGCCCATGGCTCATTGCGTTACCATGCTTAGGCCTCAGATATTATAAGTTGGTGTTGTCATTCTTCACGCGCTTGCACTTAAGCCTTCTTTTACAAGCCCTGGTTAACTGCAAAGCATATCAAACTAACATTCATAACACTTAGGCAGGTTGATGTATGATCAGCATGCGATACCATGCCCAGATTGGCTATGCTGCTCCTTCGATCTCCTACAAAGCATCTGCGACATCATGAAATGGCACACGTCTTCATCAGACCAATAGCTTAGATGGCTAGCAATACTAGCAATCATTGATATATCGAAGGCCCCCCTTTGCAAGATCAGCGATCTGTTCTTGGTTGAAAATGTTAAAAGCATTGAAGGTAACAAGCAGGTGTCTTACTCTTGTATACTATAGTCAACCCTTCCGTTGGAATTCAAAGCCCTCACTTTTGCATCTTCAATCATAAGCCTCCTCCCATGATGATCGTTCCCAAGTGATTCAAAAGTGTCCCCTAAATTGTTCTGGGAATCCCTCGGTTTGCCGCGCTCCCCGGCCTTACGATAACCCTCATAGAGTGTTTCTAAATTCGAGTCAATGAGCGTAGGATTTCTGAGATCTTCTGTTTGATGAAGAGAGTCGGGGTCAGAGGCTAATGAAAGTGTTTTCTGGGCATGCAGAGTTGAATTAAGGCCTGCCTCGGAGGATGCGGTTTCCTCTGAAGTAAGGCCAAGGCTGCGGTTAAGCAAACTGCTTGCGACACCGGATGTGAAGTTCGTCCACAATGACCCCACACTTTGTCCGACACGACTGCTAATTAATGAGAGACTCTGACCCGATGTCGTCCAAATCCCTCTCTTGACTGACGGCAATGGCTGGGGTTTAAGTGATGACATTGCTGGTGAAATGAGAGGCTCTAGACGGTAACTAACCGGGTCAGACGGATGAAAAATATTGAACAATTGTCGGCATTTTGGAGAGGATATCGAAGCCAGAGTGTGGTGTTGAAGCGTGTCCTTCCCATGACCATGAGGCGCAGAAGAGCTGGTTTGCGACTTGACAGTCACAGCCTCGCCTTCAGGACGGTTTGATGATGCATAGTACCTATGTGGTCGCCCAGCAATGGTTTTCCCCTTGAGCATCTGAAACAGTGCTATTGGAGACCCCAAACAAAATAAATCCTCACAGTCAAAGCTCAAAGAGTCGCCCTGTATCACTTTGTGACATGCCTCGTCATAGCCACGATGCGAGGCTTCAGTAGGCCGTGAGTTTTGCTGTTCATGACAGAGGATATCGAAAAGGATGGCGCTACCAAGCGAATGCCCACAAAGGCTTACAGAGCCCCGAAAAGAAGGGTTTCGCTTCTTAAAAAGGTCCAAGATCCGGTTACACTCTTGTTTGACTATCCGAGAGATATGCTCACAGTAATCACTTTGGTATAGAAGCACATCCATCGCCAAATCTGAAATGAGGCCTCGGACAGCAGGAACATTGTCAAGTGTGATATCGGACAAGCTTGGATATGGGGCTTTCTCGGAGCCTTTCACATCACCCAGATCGAATTCTGTACGGGTTTGGTGCTCCTTTTGATATGGGAAGTCCAAAAGATGCCTCCAGCATCTGGAACAAATTAGCCCTAGCGCGCTAATAGTCTACTCGGAAGAATGAATGAAGATGGAGAGTAGTCCTGATGGCGTGACAAGGGTAAAAGCACATTACCAAATTGAACCATAAAAACAGGGTACTACTTACACTGGGAGAACCTGGATGCGGCAATTTTCATGCTTGTCCGGAAAATCCGAGTTAAGAGCCTGAAGATCAGGAGAGGCTCTGTAGACACTCTTTAGAGTTTTGCGCAAAACGTTGATGTCGTGTATGAAGTTAACACTCTCCAGGCGCATGCCAAGTCGCTGGCCGATTCCATGAGTAACCAAAACTAGGTGATCGATCCCCCGATCTTTATCCTCAACCTTCCTGGACTCCTCCATCTCCTCTTGTTCCTGCTTGCGTGCTCGCTCTTCAAGCTCAACCATATCTGTCGAAACGCGCTGCTCAACAGTCGGTTTCTCCTCGAGCGAGATATTTTCATCGTCTGATGTTTGGTAACGAGACGTAAATGGTCTAGCCATCTGTGAAACTAACTTTTCTTGAGTATCCTCAGGCAAGACGTCCTGTAACTCGTCCCCAGATGATTTCGTTTCGACGCAAGTCTCATGCCCCGCCTCTTTTTGTTTTTTAGTTTCAATATAACCACGTACGAGCTTCGTACCTGGAACGCCACCTAGCTTTTGATAGACCGTTGTGCTCACCCTGGACATAAAATCATCGTTCACCAATAACGCCGTCTTAGAATCCTGATAAGTCACTATACTATTCATATAGGCACCAAACAGACGGTACGCTTCAGGTTCACTTCTAGGCACAGGAGTTGTATGTCCCGCATTCTCAGAGTCATTGGAAGATCCGGGTCCTGTAGGCAAGTAAGCCTATGACTTCGCGAAGACATATTTTCAGTCTTACCTTTTTCACTACCATTTGTTCTCACAGGAAACTTGGAAGAATAGGCAGGGCTTGTATACCGCCATGGCTTTGACTTGAGGTAACCTTCTTCAAGTTGGGTAGCTAAATTTTCTTCACATGGTTTAATTGTCGACCCGTCTTGGAAGAACCAAGTTCCGCGACGGACTTCGTAGACTGGACCTATCCAGTAGGCTGGCCGGAGCTCCCTTTGTTCAATAATAACATCAAAAAGCGAGTCTTCGTTCACAGGAACCTTGGTCGGCTCGGAAGACGCTTCTCCTATCGACCTGTTGTATGAGTCGTGCTCGTTCTCGGCATCTGTCCGTAGAAGTGCTTGAAATGCATCTTCTATGGCTTGGGAGTCTCTGGATATGAACGGGACAAACTTCTTCGGGGGCGCTAAAGGTTTTGTGTCACCCTTTTGATCCCGGAGCCCAGGTTTCCATTTGGGCGAATCCACAGCATAGAACCACCTAACCTTAAGAGGAGGACAGTCCTTGGGGTAGCGACGGGGACTCAGCCCATGTCTATGTGAGACTGTATGGTCCTCACCTCGAGAACGTTGGAGGAGCTCTTTCGTACCGATGTCAGGCTGCGGGGTTGTACTTCTAGGGGTTTTACCCGGTGTAAAGGCCCCGAAGAAAGTTCCCTTTTGACTTTCCTTTGACATGAAGCTCTTAAGAGCCCGATATGACGGAGCGCGAGCCAACGCGTTTGGTAGCAAGCAAATACGATGGCTATTGAATATGGTGACAAGACGGTTAGCTTAGAAGAAGGCCACGTAGTTAGACTGCGCGATTGTGGATCAGCAATAAGGTAGAACGAGTTTTATCTCAGATGATCACAGCGCTGAATTGGTGTATGGTCTGACCAGATAAAGTTCTATTCACCGTTGTTCTCTTCGGCTTCTACTGTCGTTAGTTCGTGGTCAATTAAGCATCTCAGACACTATATAATGTGAAGCTGCAACCGTTTTCTTGGCAAAGCCGAGCTCCAGGGACTTGGGTTGTAGGAAACGACCACTTAGTTGGGATAATCGTACAGTAAGTCGCTGGTGTGGCAATGAGGAAACCCTTGAAGCAGACATCGACTGATTGGACTGCAACTAGATACTGTCAGGGGCTACGCTACTGTATGTCTACAAAGTAGACTACCCTATGCCCGACCCAGGATCACCTCAATAGGATACCGACGAATACTACGTACGGACTGCTATTACTTACCACCGCAAAGACCGTAATTACCATAGAATACAGAAGCGTGGCCGTGCTGATCACGTGTACCACGCGAAGTACTTAATGTGTGGGATTACCTCCTCCAGACACATCCATGTCATGGAAGATTTATGTAGGGGTGTTTTTTTTTTTCTCTTTTCTTCTTTAAATTTTCAAAGAGAGAGATCTGAATCCACAAGGTGATCGAGCCCTACCTTTTCGGCTTGCAACTACTACAGAGTACTTCAAAAGCAGTACGTAGCAGTACTACTCCGTACTCGCAACCCCCACCTTGATTTCCCCACTTTCCTAGTAGGTAGAGGAAAATAGCGCAACTACGTACCTAGGTGCCTAAGTACGCCGTGCTTACTCTAATATAATAATAGTGCCTAGTGCAGGCTGCCAACTTCTTCTTGTACCCATCTCTGATTCAAATTACATCATCAGGCCGGTTACCCTTTCATACTGCTATATCAATACGCTTCCAAAGCCTATTGTAATTCCATTGACGTTTCCTCACTACTACTCTTAACTTGCCAGCCTGGATTGGAAAGTACCCGAGCAAACCCCCTGAGGATGAACGTGATCAAGCTCCAAAGGCAAGTCAATCGCCCCGATGGATTATCCAGCCATTGCGGGAATTGCTCAGCGCCGACTGACTCTGTAGCGCAGAAAATATCCGCAGTTCGAACAGTCGGAGATCTTCTCGCTTCAGGATGCATTTCGAAAGCTGGATGTTGATGATAAAGGCTCCTTAGACGAGGCAACTGTTATTAAGGCCACCCAACAATCAGAACGAAAGCCCTATGATGTTGTGCGTCAGGCCTTGAAACAAGTTGAACTCGACAGCTCTCGTCGAGTTGAGCTCGAAGATTATGTGGACGTCAGTATGCCACTATTGCTGTGTTGTTTTGGTCGCCCCTTTGTACTGTTATCGCTAAGATAACCCTCAACAGCTTATTTCTAGACTCCGCTTTGCATCGACGCAAAGCCAGGCGGCTTCAGCTCCTGCACCAGTGCTTCCGGGGAATGGAGCCGGTCCGTCTCGACATGTCTCCAAAGGCAGTATAGGAGGCAGGATCCACGTCCAAGGTTCCTCCGCAAATGTGACGCATACCATAAACGAGGATGAGAGAACCGAATTCACTAGGCATATCAATGCTGTCCTTGCTGGTGATCCAGACATTGGTCACTCCCTCCCCTTCCCCACCGACACGTTCGAAATGTTTGATAAATGTAAGGACGGCTTGGTGTTGGCGAAGTTGATCAACGATAGTGTCCCGGACACTATTGATGAGCGCGTTCTGAACAAAGCCGGGAAGAAGATAAAAGAGCTGAATGCATTTCATATGACTGAAAACAACAATATTGTGATCAATTCAGCCAAGGGTATTGGTTGTTCTGTTGTGAACATAGGAAGCGGCGACATCATAGAAGTGCGTGAACACCTTATTTTGGGTTTGATCTGGCAGATCATCCGCCGGGGTCTCCTGGGCAAGATTGATATCAAATTGCACCCTGAACTGTACAGGCTCTTGGAGGAGGATGAAACTTTGGAGCAATTCCTCCGCCTTCCACCAGAACAGATTCTTCTGCGCTGGTTCAATTATCATCTGAAGAATGCAAAGTGGAACAGAAGGTATGTTGCAATCCCTGACAGAAAGTTTCTAGCCGTGACACGACGAATAAAACTACGATAGTAAAGATGCAGCCTACTAACCGCCGTTATAGGGTGACAAATTTCTCATCTGATGTCAAGGATGGTGAAAATTATACCGTACTCCTGAATCAGTTGGCACCAGAGACCTGCTCTCGGAGTCCTCTTCAGACTCAGGATGTTGTTCAGAGGGCAGAACAAGTCTTGACAAATGCGGACAAACTGGGCTGTCGGAAGTTCCTGACACCCTCCTCGCTCGTCGCAGGGAACCCGAAGCTAAACCTGGCGTTTGTGGCGAACTTGTTCAACACTATTCCAGGCCTCGACCCAATCACCGAAGAAGAGAAGCTTGAAGTCGAAGATTTTGATGCAGAGGGCGAGCGAGAAGCCAGAGTTTTCACCCTATGGCTTAACTCTCTCGATGTACAACCTGCTGTTAATTCTTTATTCGATGATCTTAGGGATGGAACTATATTGCTACAAGCATATGACAAAGTTATGCCTGGCAGTGTCAACTGGAGACACGTCAATAAGCCTCCAGTTTCTGGGGGAGAGATGATGCGTTTTAAGGCAGTTGAGAATACCAATTACGCCACTGAGCTTGGGAAACATGTGGGATTTTCCTTGGTAGGTGTACAGGGAGCGGATATCACTGATGGTCAACGAACTCTCACGCTTGGGTTGGTCTGGCAATTAATGCGCCGGGATATCACAAATACGCTCTCAGGCCTAGCCAAACGTATGGGCAAGCGCGAGATAACAGATTCCGAGATGATCAAGTGGGCAAACGAAATGTCGCACCGCGGTGGCAGATCCTCGTCGATACGCAGCTTTAAGGACCAGTCGATCGCCTCAGGCCTTTTCCTCCTTGACGTGCTTAATGGCATGAAGAGCAGCTATGTCGACTATGATCTCGTAACACCTGGTCGGAACGATGAGGAGGCGTACGCAAACGCTAAGCTGAGCATCAGTATAGCACGAAAGCTAGGTGCCACAATTTGGTTGGTACCTGAAGATATTTGCCAAGTGCGCTCTCGCCTGGTGACTACTTTTATCGGTAAGTTCCAAGAACCTTGGACCGTGGCGAGCAGCATTCAAATTACTAACACCATGCGACTAGGCTCTTTAATGGCTACATACGAAAAAATGCAGTGATGGATCGGCAAAGATGTACACCAGCGGTGCACTGCGTTTTTTCTATCTATCCCTTTCGTGTGCAATACTAACAGTCCCTGGGGTATATGTACGTACTAGTCATGATGCAGACAATAGCAAGATGCTTCAATCCTTACCAACTTCCGTCTTGGAATGACTGTAAGACAAGAATGATGTACAAATGTGTAGGCAGTTCACACCTACCATTCTTTCCTCGCCTTGAAGCCGAGACTTCTGACTCTACAACTGCAAAGTCGCCCCAACCATATCACCAAGTGCAAATAAACCATAGACTAGAGTGTAGCCTTCAGTCCAGACTCGTATAAGCCTTGGAGGCAGACACGGCAGGTCAATACTTAGTCTTCCGTATAGCTCTTACCTTGTATGTCTCCCCACGACCTAGCATGGCGACCATTTCTACAGACTACAGAGTTACAGATCGTTTTCGAAGCGGTGTTGCAGGATATGCACGAAGTCGACCGGTCGTGTGAGACGGTAAAGGTCAATGATCATCGACTATATTAGAATGCGAGTTCAAGACGGATAACGGATCGCTGTTGATCGTGACGAAAGGACGAGACAGTGTGGCGATACGATAAACAAGAAAAAAGGCCCGCTCGACGTTCGTTCGGTCATGATTCGAGCTGCTGACCATGATAAATACCAATGTTAAGCAATAGTACCAAAGCCCCAATGCCTCGTATCTTGCGCCAGCACTTCCAGGAGTTGGCCCCTTCGCGTTCTCTCTGCTAATGAACACTGCAATTTAGAAGTAAATGGCAAAGGAAAGCACAGAGGAAGAATCAATGCAAATGGAAATATTAAGAAGCAAGACAAGAGAGCAATGGAATGAAAAAGAAGAGCGAACAAGCATGGGGGTTGAAGAGGGGAACGGGAGCTTAGGGGAGGGTCAAGACAATAGCGCCAGTATTCAACAGCGATAAAGCGAAATAAACATCCAGGTCGATCATCAACGTGCACTGATGACTTCTTAAGCTTCACGTTCTACCTCTCAGGCCTTGGAATACGATCCGGCACAGATTGACGTCTTTGGCCGGGTGCATGGTACGAGATCTGATAGTTCATGAAGCCAAAATAACCTACTCGGCTGTATCAAGCTCATCATGAGCTGAGGTCAAGGGTTCTAAGGGGACTGCGGCAGATGATCAGCACCGACTAGGAGTGGGTACATGTATCAAAGAGCAAACCTTTCCTGTCTTCACCGTTTGGGATATTCTCCCGCTCGTCCTCGCGTCGTTCACGATCGTCATCACGGCGCTCTCTTTCATCCTTGATATCGCGATCCCTCTCATCAGGGCTTCGAGAGCGGTCACGAGAACGTTCACGGTCCCGATCGCGGCGATCATAGTCGCGGTCACGGCGGTCATAGTCGCGGTCATGTCGGTCATAATCCCGGTCGTACCTGTCGTCCCTTCGGGGAGAATAGTCGCCACGACCACGTCTAGGGGAAGGAGAGCGGCCACGTCGTGGCGGAGTACGGTCACGTCGCCGGTCCCGACCAGAATCGAAACGCCAAGAAGCAGATGGAGGAGTACGTGCCCACTTTGGCCATGTCAGTCAAGTTATGAAATCCGAGTCTTCTACTTACCTCAATTTTCAACAAATCATCGCGGCCAATTCGCTTGTTATGCATTTCATGGTATGCATCATCTGCGTCACGGCGGCTCTCGTACTCCACAAAGGCAAACCTTATGTCATGAGCAAGTAACATTTAGGGTGTGAAGCCTCGATTTAACATACAGTCTGCTGGAAGGGGTACGTGGCGCTGGGATGTCACAGCGGACAAGACGTCCATATCTAAGTCAATGTTAGAAGACGATCCACATGCATTTCAATCATTAAATATATGGTGCAAGGCAACTGTGAGAGGAAATCTCTTTCGGAGGATCCCCCTTCAAGGAGTCCCCTCTCCAAGGAAATCGGATTAAACAAGCAAATCTCTATCACAATATGATATAGAGAGCGGCACCGACGTCGGTTTGCGGGACTCAGCCGAGGTGAATTGCGAGAATGGACACGGGTCGTATAGTCATGGTAGCGCGTAGCAATCGATGAGCGGCACGTACCGTTCGAATTCGTAGGCAAGGTCGCGAGCTCGTGTCCCGTGCCCGAAGCCGGTGACATAAAGCGTAGTACCAGGTCGAGACATTGTGTGTTAGCCAGTGAGGTTGTAAGGTTGTATGCTGGACTGTGTAGGCAAATCAACAATGGGTGGTGTGGATGCGAGTGAAGCAAGAATGGGCAGGATGTAAGGAAGTCAGAGACAATTCAGGAACTACAGCTAAGTTTGTATGCCACAAGCGAAGTATCCAGGGATGTTCTAGTTTCCTATTACATAATATCTGAGTCAGTAATAGCTCAAAAACGGATACACATGATAAGATATGTCTCTTAAAATGGAATCGCTGGAAGTAAAGAAAAGGTAAAATCTGGATTAAGAAAATGCAGAATTTTACATCTTATTGAAATGATTTACTTAAGGAACTAAGGTTTCATATCACAACTAAGATCTGAGGCTAGGACGCTAATAGTTGCTGAGATGTTATTTATCATTTACTGATGCCAGCAGCACTGCTGTACTGTATTAATAATAACAATATGCTTCTCGTCACTCTTGATTCGTAGTTAGCGATCGGATGGGGTTATTACGTACTCAATATTACTAGTGTCTAGTTTGTCAACACCTATATCAAGCTAATGCCGCCCTTGCAAAGCGGGAAAATCTTTCCTTTCTTTCAGAAACCTTTTGACTTGGCAAATCATTTGATTTACTTCAAAACGCAACAGCCTCTCTTAAAATGAATGCTGAACTACATCAAGTCCAGAAAGTGTGGGAGCGTATCCGCACTAACAGTCCAATTTATGCTTTTCTCCTTCAGGACATTGACATTTATGATGCCGGCAAAGGTGTATTTAATGCGCGACTGCAAGTCGCCCCTCATCATCTGAATTCAAAGGGTACCTTGCATGGCGTGTTCTCAGCCTGTGTCACTGACTGGGCGGGTGGATTGGCGATCGCATCGTCCGGTCTCGACTCAACGGGTGTCAGCACCAATATTCAGGTCAACTATCTCTCAACAGCAAAAACAGGAGACTGGCTAGTAATCGAAGGTCGCGCTGACAAAGTTGGGCGGAACCTTGCTTTCACAACTGTGACAATATCGAAGCAGACTGACTCTAATGGGAGTACGATTGTTGCACAGGGGTCTCATACCAAATATATTAAGGCTCAATAACGGTTTGGACAGTTTTATGAACAAGTAACGATTGGGCTAGCCGGGAGAAAAACACAGTGGTTTATGTAGACTTTCATACAAGCGCCGCAGTCTTCTTTGCATCTGGCATGAAACGCATATACTTTGAATGCTGGATTCACTCGGATTGCGCATAGCAATTTCCATCCTTATTTGCTTTAGATACCTTGCCTTTCAACTGGTAGCGCAAGGTAATATTGGATGGATACACGGCACCATATAAATGAATAACTCTTTCGCGATTTCAACTACACGTAGGATTTACTTCCCCCATTTCCTTTTTGTTACAGGAACTGGAACCAGTCCTGCTACGCATGATTAGGCTTATCGCTTATCCCAAGCCCTGAACTCATATGTCATGGGCCCTCAATGGCTAAAAGCAACACGGGATGACCAGAATGTCTTCTCGAGGTAGAGTGCCTTGGTTTTTGTGCGTAAAAGTTAAAGAAGACGCCCTCGCTTTCAACAATGAGTTAGCACCCGAGCCTCGCCACATCCAAGTATTTCAAACGCGGCATTGACATCGCCTGGTTAAGTCTCTGAGTGCAAGTTCTCATTTAATACGGGCCAAGGACTCCGCGCAATGAGTGAATGGGACGGAGTACTACTAAGTAGTATCACCGATCCTGCCACTATCTAAAACAGACATGCGCGCGGTCGCATTATCTATGTATTTCGAACTTTGTCAACGATTACAAACCTACACGTTATAATATATTAGCCCATTTAATGTCACTGAGAGAGACTCAAATAAAGATGAACATATTTGCAGATCATATTTATACATTACGTGTTGTTTGTATGATAAAGTAGTAGCACTCCATAGCTAGTATAGATATAATCCAAATGATCCCCGGCCGGTTGTATTAGGTAACCAAAGCGGACATGCCAATCAGATAACCAGACGTTAAAAGGACAACCAACTTGCTGTCGACGCACAGCCTTGATCACTTGCGAAATCGTGGGTTTCTCGCTTCCTTTATAAGTCTACAAACCTGCGTTACGGTCAATGCGACCATCTAATTAAGCCAATTGCTATGGATGAGACTTCCAACTGGGCCGAACAATCACAGCCCAAGAAACCCGAATTAGCTGAGACTCCTCACATTGTGTTGCCGACGAGCTACAACGAGCAGGCTGTGACGGAGAGTTCAAACCCTGTGCGATCAAAAGGAGCCATTGACTCTACACTCCAATTTCTCTCAACATCAAATGGTGAGACTCTTCTGGGTGTCTTCGCATGCTTGGTAGGCGCGACACTCTTACTTTTTGGAAGACTTGGTTTGCTCTTGATCGGAATTGCTAGTGGTATCATCTTGCACGCACAGTGGGAGGCAGCTGACGAAGACCCTACCCAACCATTATCTAATTCACGACACCGAAGGAGAAAGGAGCTCGCCCTGGACATAGCCAGAAGACTACTTGACTGGCCGAAAAGCACGGATTCTGCTGCTGATGCCGGGCAAGATGACATCGGGCAAGTATTCCTCTTCGGGGACACTTCCTCTGCTGATCTTGAATATTCTACTCTTGGCCCCAAGACAGCGGCTGCCCTGAGATCAATTACTGATGCAATCATGAGGGACTATGTGATGTAAGCTCTCGCCTATCATGCTACTTCGTGAGCTTACCAGACCTCGAAAGCTCCTGGTCTAGTCCAATATTACCGCCCGAGACAACATTTCCTCTATCATGCCGGAAGTTGTTGGCCGAATTTATCTCGTCCCTGTCATCGCACCTCTCTCGTAAACGCTCTGCTGACACTTTTCTGGAACTCCTCACTAACTCATCCTCACTGATCATTGTGTTTTTGGATGAGCTTTCTGCAGCATTTGAGTCCGTTGGCTCCAACGAACCTCCGGAAGAGGTGGTCTTGCGCTACATGGAGAGCTCCCCTGAAAGCGGTCTGGCGAATATCTTAGCCAAAGACCAGCAAAAGAGGAAGCTCGACATTATAGCAGACGATATTCTGGCTAGATTTTTGGACCCGAATGTCTATGGATGCTTGCTGCTCAAAGATTTCATGCGCGAAATGTTCGTGAGCGTTCTATTCGAGTCGACCATTTCGAGTCTTTCGAGGCCAGAAATTATAAATGGCTGGATTATATATCTCTTTAATGAAGGCAAGTCAGAAATAATGACTGCGATAGACGCCGGTGTCGAAGGGGCCCAGGAACAAGTTGTGACAGCAACTAGAGATCTCAACAGCGTAAATGAACCTTCATCCGAGACAACAAGCAACACGAGCCCCGAGCCCAATATCACTGGGGATGAAATACAACAAGAAACGGCAGATGTTGACAGGGCAACAGTGGAGGCCAAAATAGAGGCGAAGCGTCTCAGTGACATGATCACAGCACATGATATGCAGAAGCAAAGCTTAGAGAGAGCAATACGAGACGATGTGCAGGAGGTAGCATTGGATGACAGGATTGATCATGGAGAAGACTTGCCTGCAAACAAGATCGGAGACGATATTATGCAACGCGAAGACTCGGGATGTGATCAAGCAAAGCATATTGGAGTTAATATCGATTTCAAACTGGAAGAAAATAACAGCTCGTCCCCTTTACTCATGCCTTCTAAGAGTCAAACCGCACCAAATTCACCGCCGGAGCCAGTCGTCCTTCATCGTGCATCCATAACGGTAGAGACCGATGCTTCGAAGGTCACATCGAAAGGCCCACTCCGTTCAAAACCAACGTCGGACTATTTACTACAGGTTGAACCTGTATCGACACGGTCCACTGGCTGGATGGTTTTCCGAAAATATACCGATTTCGAGTCGCTTCACCAAACATTGGAGGCCATTTCGAGACTGCACAAAATCCGGACGTTTGCAGACGATCACCCAGTTGTACCCCCGTGGAAAGGCCAGACGAGATCTGAATTGGCCAAGAACTTAGGGCGTTATCTTCAGGATGCTCTCAGCCACAGGTCTATGGCAGAGAGCGAAAGGATGAAACGATTTCTTGGCAAGGATGAACATCTCGGATCGGACTTCAGTAATCCTTACAGCAAGACTGTATTCCCTTTTCCAAGCCAATCTGCGCTCGAGAATGTAGGAAAGGGCGTGTTGGGCGTTTTATCCAATGCGCCCAGGGGTGTCTCGGGAAGTGGTAAAGCCATGTTGGATGGCATGACAGGGATATTTGGTGGAGGCAGCAGTAAGAAGCAATCGCCAGATCCAGTGGCAGGCGATAAAGACAGATCACTAGATCTTTTCAACCAAAGCGAGTCAATTGGCCACGGGTCACAGGAGAAAATTGGGGATTCTACGAGAACTAGGCCGGCTTCCCCGCCGGACAGATCTCTCACACGCAAGACATCTGGGAAGCCAGGTCACCCTCCTGAAGAGAATTTCCCGGATCGAATCGAGACGGCCACGGACTATCCAGAATTTTCCGACAGCTCAGTTCAGACAACGGATGCAGGGCGCACTGTGGCTTCTACACAACCGTCTCCTTCTGCCGGGCGATATACTTCGGCTGACCTACGTCAGTCTCCTGGTGGGACACAAGATAATTTTCACACAAACAGCGAAGGGCAAGCACCAGATGCTGAATTAAGTGACTACAGGAGTCGAAGCAACCCTATCACGCATGAAGAGACGCGTATAGCCGTGGAACTCATATTTGCGGTAATCAATCAACTATACACTTTGTCTTCGGCATGGAACATACGCCGGACTCTACTTAATGCGGCAAAATCGTACATATTACGCCCCGGAAATCCTCATTTGGAGACGATCCGTGAGCTACTCCAGGTATCAATGATTGATTCACATACGTCAGATGAAGCAATTGGGCTATATCTCAACAAATTGCGTGAAAGTGCTCTCCCAACGGAAAGCGAGTTGGAAAACTGGCCGCCGCCTTCCACCGATACTGAGAAAGAACGGCTGAGGGAGACGGCTCGCAAAGTCTTCGTTCAAAGAGGCTTACCCCAGGCTCTTACGAGCGTTATGGGAGCAAATGCCAGTAAGGAAGTTTTGGGGAAAATTTTTGATTGTCTGCAGGTACAAAATCTCGCTCGGGGTTTCGTATATTCTCTTTTTTTGCAGGCTCTTAAGGCCGCTATCCTCTAATCCGAATATCCAGGGAGGGACTCGCTGATTATTAGCGACCATTAGCGATCACAAGAATACCGTCACATGTATAACCTAATGATCGGTTCCTGTTTGTATCTCTAGTTAGTTGAGCATTACATGCAGTTTCTGTGATAACTAGTCAATTAATTGTATAAGTAACATAGTTCCCATCTTGACCGGCCACCAGCCCGGGTCAGCTATCTATATAATACCATACAAAAAATTCTTTTTTTTTTCCCTTTTTTTTATAAATTTGGTTTTACTACTAATATTCATGGGTATAAAATGGAGTATAAATATTTTGGAGATAATCAAAAGTATTATCAGTATTTTTTCCAATGTCTAAAGCGTGCAATCATAGTAAGAAAATATATTTTCTAGATATTCTAATGGTATTAAGTCATAAATAGAAGACTTTATAAAAACTCTAATAAACATTGCAGCATATTTAATATTTAGATATGGACTTCTATATTAATATCTGCTACACTGGTTGAGATTCTAATTTAATTTAGAAATAATATTAATTGTATAGTAACATGGGTGGCCGACCGGGGAGGGTGGCTGGTTTGGATGGGAACTAACTACATTACTAGATTGACGATGATTCAATGGTCGGGTATAGTCACGTGATGTTACCTACCAAACCGGCGGTCCGTTTACCCCTACATATAGTCAATGAAGAAACTGAAAAGCTCGTCCACAATGAGCTTGCAAGAGAGAAATTATTGACGCATCCGTGTCTTTCTAAATACATACAGCGGTAAAACTACGTTCGCCCCTTTCGGTTTATCGGCCCCTTTCCTTGGCGGCAGACGTAGTTATGTCTTTCAGGGCCAGAAAGCGCGTACCAGACTCTGAGAGTGATTTCGTCGACGGCTATCGGTCATCAAAAAGGACAAGGGGAGATGTCTCGAAGGAAAACACAGACTCTCGTCATTCTGATTCAGTTGCTGGCCAGGGGAAGCTTGACTCGAATGGAGACCTTTATTGGGAAATCTCCAAAGCACGCCGTGTGACCATCTCATCTTTCCGTGGAAAGACCTTGGTCAATATAAGGGAATATTACGAGAAGGATGGCCACGAGCTCCCTGGGAAGAAGGTTGGTTCCCTTTTTATACTAAAAGGCTTTGCTACGAAACTCATCGTTTGCGCAGGGGATCTCTTTGCCAATTGATCAGTTTTCCTCTCTTGTGAGCTTACTACCTCATATTGAAACCACTCTTCAGGATAAAGGAGAATCAATCCCCCGGCCACAGTATGATAGTGATAGTAAAATCAACAGTGAGAATAAAGAGGCCGGTGATGACTCCGTTGATGTTTCGGATGAGGATACGCGCCGGAATATCGAAGCGACAAGTGAGGACGATAGCGAGTAGGCTTGCCCACTAAAGGGGCTAGAACTACCTTGAGGCAGACGGTCTGGTTTATTCAACAACGCCATCGCTGCTTATCTATCCCTGGGTTCCACTGGCGCTGCATTATAATGGGAATGAATGGATCGGTTGGATTTATTATGAGCAGGTATGCAAGGCGTCGAATATGCCATGAAACTCGCTCCAAACCACGAGAGTACGTATACAAGGTTTTTAAATCGCTTCCCAAATGTCCTGTAGCTTTCAAGTATATCCAGCTAGTCCCTCTGATTTCCAGTTGAAATTCTACCAGAAGTCTAGTACAAAATGTCATTTAACACCTTATCGCTACTTATCGGTCACCCTAGCACCTCTTGCAACTCCAGTAGACCTACATACCGATCGATGCCTTTAGCAGGCAATTGCTTTCTGAGGAGTACTGAAAAAGCTAAGGCAGTTGTTACCTGTGTATCGCTCCTGTATCACAACTAGAAGAACACAATAACAGTTGGCCATTTTGTACACTATAAAATAAGTATATTTGGGCTATTCAATGCGTGTCTGGCATTACCGATTTCCATTTGGATGTTTCTGCCCGTAAATGTTCATATTCCTAGACAGATCTGTCGCTTTCACACGGTGCTCAGTCTATTGTAGCGTGGGTACATGAACCCTGGTGGAGAATCGACACGCATACTTGGGTTCTCTAATACGGTGTTTGAACCTCCGGGACAACTACACAGTGCTTTGGACTTGTCTAGAATTTATGGAAGTAAGGGAAAGTGGTATTGTGAAGCAACTAACTCTGATATGTTCAATCGCGTTTCTGACATTATGTACATCCCGACACCCAGCCTCTGGGGCACTAGAGGGCGCCTTGACATCCATTTACTAATGGTGCCTGTGACTGAATAATATTAATATTAAAGAGATGTCAAGAATCCGAGGGAAGAGAGAGATTGAAAGCGACGGGAAGAAAGAGTTTGTTTCTGTATGAGAGGGTATTATCTGAGATACATGCAACGTAATTAGCCACGGTGTTGAACTACTAGGAGTGTTACCTTCGATGTGAAAACAGATTAGTAGGTTCTTAAAGTACTATGAAAAGGCTGTGGCTATTGACTATACCGTCATGTTGTGTAGGTTCAACTATGTCCTCCAATATATGTAGAAATTCATGGGTCCAATAATCATTAACAACTAACGCAAAACATAATCGCGCGGCCAGTTTGTAATGGTATAAAAAATATCTTTTCTGAAATTATTATAATCTAATTATTACACTTTTAGTGAGTCTATGATAATATATAAAGATCAATAACTAGAATATATATTTATTAGATTTATTCAAAAATTTTTATAAATTCTCTAGAATTAAAAATACGGAATATCTTAAAAATATAAGTAAATACAGGTATTTTATATCACCAGCTATTATATATATTTATATTTATCCGAAAAAAATATTAAAAACTAAGTTTATTGTTACCATAATCTATATATTTAAGATAAAGTCTAACACTCTTTTAATAGCTGAAATATACCAAACTAAAAGAGTAATTTTCATATAGTATTATTAGATAGGCCGCGCGATTGTATGGACCGCGTGATTGATATATGTTAAATGCTCAGATTAATCATCTCACTCATACTTTGTACAACCAACTAAAAGTTTACTACAAGATATGTACACAGTATAGTTGGCCTCAGAGAGACCCACATTTGCATTCACAGCCCTTTGGAGTGTGGTCACAAATTCAGTACATAATTTTGGGTATGTACAAAGTAACACCCATTGGGACATTACAAACCACAAGATCCCTTGCGTGTAATTATAGCTTAGCCGCTATTGAGGGAAGACATCAAATTGGTGTAAAATTAGTCGCCTTTAGTAAGTTATTTAGCCGGTTTTGCTAGGTATTATGGCTATGCGAATCCTTTACAAGCAGTTGCAATGCGTTATGTACCTTACAATGTTACAAACTCTGTACTATGGGGCTACTATAGTAGTAGTCGTAGTCTTGTGGAAAGATCGGTGGTTTAGCAAGCAAAGCAAATCCATGGCTAGTGAGGGACTTCCGTCATATCAGACCATGAATTGTAAAACACAATAGCCCCCTTCCCCTCCCCCTTTTCCACCCTGACCCCCGGAATAACGCTACATTATGATACGTGCTGCTTGAACATATTCTTGACTTGAATATTATAAAAAACCCACCCTGTACAATCACTGGCTATTAACTTGAGATTACTGGTTTTCTTTGTCAGCCTGGACGTATAGACCGGTTTGACCTGTCTTATCCTCTTTGTGATTTGATTGCTTATCAAAAAGGGTGCTCTTGGTATGTCCTGACACACTGCCTTTTAGCTACATTTAAGTATCATCATTCAGAAGAGTGAAGACCTATCTCAAGCAGTCGCAAGTATGATTTGCACCATCGATTATATTTTACTAACAAATAACTATCCATCTAGTGTGCTGGAAGGTCCTGTGTGGACTCGAATTCCGGATCCGAATTCAATCCCTACCGTCGGGTTCATCGAGCGTCCTACTAGCACATCTCAACCAAGAGAAGGAGAAAGTATCCTAGTGTATCGACCCACTTTGTCAATTATAATTCCGTGCATACCACCTACCTGTTGTGCTCCAGAACCGGGAGAAACTTGTCATGAATAAGGGGAGCATGCGCATCCTATAACGTCAAATCTGCCAATTGCATTGTCAACGCACACACACACACACACACACACACACACACACACACACACACACACACACACACACACACACACTATGCAACCGGAGTGAGTACTCTGGTATGGGCGCAAGACAGCAATTGAGCTGACAAATCTCTTGTGTGGACTTTCTCAGGCTGCAGAATTACTGTGGACACATCAGCTTCCGGTAAAAAGGACCTCCCTCACTGGCCAAGCCATCCTCTACGGTGCTATACTACCTACCTGAAAGCCGAAGTCGGTAATCTTTATGGCTGGTTCTGCCATTCTATAACCTGCTAGTCTCTTATTGCGGTCACGGTGTCGCAACATTGGGATTCTGTGAACAAACGTTATCTGCGTTTTCCGAAGAACGCCTTACGATTGTTCGTATTTCATTTGAGTCAACTGTTGAACGCAATCGTACACGGTTGAGGAAAGTCAAGTTATAGTGACCCGATAGACAAAGCTCACGTTCATCCATCCCCAAACGCATCACAGGCTATGTCTAGATCAAAGGAACCGGATACCGCGGATTACATTTCCAGAATCGGTTCAGGAACTCCGACACAATCTGCCTTGCCACAAGCTGCTGTATCGCTGGACAAGACCGATGAAAGTCTCATCCGTGAAGGACTAGGCAATTTGAATCGCTGGTCGCAGTCTACAACATCTAGCCAAAACTCACCGGAACATAATCGTCGACTCGATTATGCTAGAGTGCCTAGATCACCTTCGCCGAACACTGGCCATGGCGGACATAGTAACGATAGTGATGGCTCGGGATATCGAAGCCGGATAACTTCCGAAACGGGACTTGAAATACATGACGGATTCCACATACCGGAGACTTTGGATACTTTTGATGGATCGCATATGGATCACCCTTTTCAAACGTCAGTCACGTCAAATTATGGCGATCCCCCATCAAGTCACTCAGTCGACGTGGTAGGAGCGACAGTGCCACAGACTAATTGGATATTTTCTGGAGCGACTGAAATACCTCATAACCTTTTCCAAGACCCCTGGGTCAAGGAACACGGTTCAGGGCCTGATTCTGCCCAGGGAAAAGGTAGCGTTGTTCCTGCTCGCCCAATTCCAGAGGCACATAGTCCACGTGCATCGGGGCCTGACGCACCAGCAGAGGTAGGACCGCGGTTGGTCTCTGAGGGAGATAAGTCTCAGGAGAAGAGAAAGCGGGGACAGTCACAGAAAGCAATGCTTTCCAAAGCGTTGCAGAAAGCGAACACTGCAGTTCTTCTTGACAATGCGGCGAACTTCGAAGGGGCTATGGAGGCTTACAATGATGCGTGTCAACTCCTACATTTGGTAATGCTTCGGAGCGACGGAGGAGAAGACGAAAAGCAAAAACTTCAAGAAATAGTGAGTCTTCTGACTTGCATAAACTTCTTTTCAATCCTAAAACTCAATTTCTCTTCTAGCGAGATACATACATGGTACGAGTCACTGAGCTACAACGTATGGATTTTTCCTTTCGAGATTTGGATAGTAAAGCGCTCCCTGAGCGCCCGCTAAGTCAAGAATCATATGGTGACTTATCTCATCCAATCATTGATGAGAACGAGGAGTTGGCCAGAGAGAAGCGTGCCTCTTTGCAGCGCAGTTCTATGGTTCGACCATTTGATCTGGCAGAAGGGCTAGCGTCCAATTGGGATCACCCACCGCGCCAGTCATTATTGCCATCGCCGCTAGGTGATCGTACACCGGCTACAGCCCAATCATATGATTCGATCAGTCGCCATTATCCTGGATCATCCCGGCGTATATCGAAATTTGAGTACATGGATGCTTCTGAATCCTCGGAAGTAACAACTTCGGGAGTGGATATCAGTCATGCTGCTGGCCAGTCTGACCTGTCCTCCTTGGCCGGTCATAAGAAGGAAGTCAATGAATCCACGTCTTGGCTCGACACCATCGATGAATCCGGCGCATCGTCCCCAGCTTCGATGCGTTCAGAAGTGTCATCAATATACTTGCGACATAGGGGGAACTTTCATCATACTGTGGGTACTGAGGCCGAATTTGATGCTGCCCTGGATGCTGCTGTGGAGGCTGCATATGATGAAGGTCTGGAACCAGCAGTCGATATAGATGATAACCGTAGCAGCAATGACATTGTGGCCAATGCTCGGAGAAATATCGAAATGGCGAAGCAGAAGGTGAGAGAAGCTGAACGGGAGGCTCAGATAGCATTGACACGCGGACAAGAAACGCAGCGTCTGCAAGAACAACCCGCGTTTGACGGTGTCAATGATCTTAGGACTGGTTATCTAGATGAAGAAGCCGAAGAAGAGGAGCGCTTGCTAGAGGAAATGACTAGAGGCTATGTGATGGATGACTTCGAATTTGGCATTCAGTCCAAGTCCGCTCTTCCCCGCCAGTCAAGATCGGGTAGCCTTTCTGGCAGAATGCGGGATGGCCCTACTACTTCCAATACTATGACGGCCCTAACTCCCTTGACAGAAGATGCAAGTCTGCCCTTCATTGATAATAAGGGCTTCGAACCTAGCGCTTCTCCCCCAAGTCATGGCGCACTCTCAGTTTCTACAAATTCGGGACATGCCTCAACATCAACGCCAACTGTGCGAGCACGGAGGCTATCGGGTCAGTATGCCACAGAATTAAAAATCGAAACAAGTACGGACCCATTCAGCTTTCGGCCACCGCCCGTTCCAAAAGATAGTACGGCTTCGGCCTCTACTATCATTCATCAGCCAGGTCGGACATCGGGACCTGCCTCTGCTCTACGATCAGCCGCGCCCATAAAAACTCGGAATGTCTCAGTTGGATCTTTCAACGAAGATGCTCTATGTAACACTAGCTCGGAAAAGATTTCTTCTCGGGACAATGACGGCCGTGAGCTCCCGAAACTTCCATCCCCAACACGTCCCATCGGTAAAGTACCTTCAGCACCAGACAATTTGGGAAAGCTCAATACAGGACTGGGAACTTTTCGTCTGAGAAATATATCAGTTTCAGGGCCAGAACCGTTCGCTGAGTCCCCAAACAGTCCGTCAAGCAATGCGTTTCCTGCCGTCGATACCCACAAATTACCAATGACTGGTTCGATACCTATAATCCCCACACCCACCACTGCCATGATGTCTGCGAATGGCTTGCCAAGTGGCGGACTCAATATATTCGATAGCCATATACATTCCCCGACAAGCCCTGGATCCCCAAATTTGTTGGCCACTGATCCTCCTCTTCCATTGGAGCCGTGCCCAGAGTCGTTTCTTTTACGTCCATTTTGGCTCATGCGCTGTATCTATCAGACAATTTCTCACCCACGTGGTGGTTATCTGTCCACGAAGTTGTTTATTCCTCGAGACGTGTGGCGCGTGAAGAACGTGAAAATCAAGGCAGTCGAAGAAAAGGTGTCGAACTGCGACTTGCTAACTGCAGCATTACTCAAGCTGGCAAAGGTCGATACTTACGATGCCGATGCCGTATTGGAAGAAATGCAATCTTTGGAAAGTGTACTTGACCAGGTGCAAATGTCGCTGTCCAAGAAGATAGGGAGCGAGGTAGGAGTGCAGGGCGCCATGCCACTCTTCAAGTCGGCTCAAGTTCTCGAAGACTCAGCAACCGTCGATGCACCGCCCTCAAAACCATCGAATGTACCGAGCAAATCATATTTGACCTCCTGGCGTAAATTACGGTCGAAGAACTCCGGGGTCAGTGCGACGGCCTCGCTACCTGCATCGAAGGACACCAATAAGGACAATGCGACAGTCAACACCATTCCAATGACGTCTCTGCCCACTTCACAGCCTTTGAGGCGTAGAGTATCTCAATTACAATACAATGGATCTAATAACTACATGGGTGCCTTGGCACGGCTCTGCGATGCAGCTCAGGTGTTGGGTAAGTGACCCTCCTATATCGTCTCGGCAGTATTAACCAGGCTTGCTTAGATCAAATCGCTCAACAAGTCGAAGATCCTGGCCTTAGGCATTCTTCGCCTACATTAGTCGGCTTAGAGTTAAGCACTCGCCATGCTGCAGAGTTCTTCGGACTCTACGTTTGTCGGTTTGCCCTGAATGATATTGGTATGATGCTTGATAAATTCATAAAAAGAGGTAGTGAGTGGGTACTGATCTGATGGCGGGGCTTTGATTTACATGTATCATACTTGAAACTTCCTCTTCCCCGTTTTCATCTCTATTACTATTTTATCTCTGTTTCTATCTGTATTTCATTACTCTAATTATCATCATCATCATCATTAGCATCGTCATCATAATCATCCTTTATTCATTCATATATATTTATATTATGCGTCTTGATAGAACCTAGAGATGTGATTTACTTGTACAAGTACCTGCAAGATCACATAATTTCTTGCCTTTCTATCTAAGCTCTTTCAGCTGTGATATCTTGCGATAAATATACTGCTGGAGTTGCAATTCTGCAGCTATCTCGGAGAGATATGTACACCATGTGCATACCCGGTGTTCCATATCGATTGCCTCCTTGACTGCAGCGATGTCCACTGTTCCCCGTGGACTGACAAGATGCGTATGATGTATAAGGACCTGACGCCTTTATACGGAGCAGATATATGCAAGCTTGGGAATCTGCAAGTCAAGTGCCTCTTTCAACCTCGTCTGGCCGCTGACGCGAGGGACACCTGGCGTCTCTTTTCCGCATCACGAATGATCTCGGCAGATAACTTTAGACTTGGTGCAAGCCGCGCATATCTGCCAACCTCCGTTATGACGCCAGATATGATACCGTCTAGCTGAGTCGCTGGAGGCAACAGCGATGAGAGAGTCGGTGACATGGTTGCCCCCATGATTAACAACGCCTGAGAGACCATGGAAAGGGCACCTTGCCAGAGGTACGGCAGATGACCTTCACGATGTCTGTCTATATGCTCGAGTTGATTCAATGTCGCGTCCAAGCACCGCAGGCAGCAGTCTTTTACTGTCGGGTCACTGCATGCATACTCATTCTGGAAGACCGCCAGGATGTAAGGCCGATATATTATTGTACGGCAGGCAAAGTAGCGAAGCCTTAAAACTGTCTGAATGGGGCTTGAAGTTGGGCCCCCAGATAGAGGAAACCGGACAGGCTGAGGAAGGCTTTCATACCATTGAGACAGCTGGAAATCTAGCTCTGAGGCGATAGGACCGAGAGATGCGAGTGTCAAGATGCTGTCTTTTTGGTAGATCATATGACTGACTCTGTTGAGCAGCCTTCTTAGGGCAATTTCAGCCAAGAAATACCAGAGCTCATCCTGACCTATCATCGCATCTACTAGTTTCTCTTCAATTCGTATGCTTCCTTCGTCTTCTTCATCTTCTTCATCTTCCGGTTCAAAGCCCCCAGGGAGATCGACGAGCTCTTCAAAATGCACAATCCCCGAGTGTGGTAGGTCTAATTCGGCAAGCAAATCACTTTCAAATAGTAAGGTGTTCCAGTACACTCTTGTACTCAGCTCCTTCCATTGCCCCGGAACACGAGAGGGGTTACCTAAGAGTAATTGTAATTTCATGCTGGCATTTGATAGTAGCGTCCAGGCCTCAAGGGGCCTGACCATGTAAAATAAATATGCAGATGCCAAGATGACACATTGCGCTGCAAGCACCGAATTGCGCGTCATAACAGCCGGCAAAAGGGTCCAAGCTGCGGAGAAATATGATAGTCCTGGAAGTTCCTCATCTGCGGAAAGGCAAGATATACTTCCATATTGACTGGCACTGCCCAGTGCCAAAACCAAGAGTACAACGCAGCTTTCAGGCCCTCTCTCGAAGTCCCGAGAAAGAGCCATCTTGTAATAGCGAGGCCACGTCAATGGGTTGACACAAGCGTACCAAACATTTACGCGCTCGAAAAAAAGTCGAGCGTGAGTAAGTGCGTTTGATAAATCTAAGCTCACAGGAGGTTCGAGCCGAAGTGGCTCACGAGCCATTTCTAGCTGTAGAAGTGTATGAGGATCATAAGGAACAGCGACCAGTTCTCGAATGAGAGGCCATTGTAGAAGGTGCAAAGCCGGTGTAGTATGTACTCTGGGCATAGTTGAGATGCTTGTCGGTGGATTTGCCCATGATCCAAGACCCACCGCGATTGTCCTGGTAGGTATGTTGGCGAGACTGACAGCATCATCGCTACTAATTTGGACAAGGTTGGCAGCCGTGGAAGAATTCGATGACAGGGGAGACTGGCCGATGGGGTCTGCAAACTTCGACTGAAGTAAGACTTCTATTCTGTTCAGCTTTTCGATAATCAGTTTGTCACCGGCATCTAGTTTGATGCCCGGCTCACGATAGACACAATCTGCATCCAGGTCTACGCAGAGCTGGCATCTTGGGCGGGCTCCGTTACATCTCGTTTTCCGTAGACGACAGATCTGGCACTGTAGCAGCGCACGCACATTAGTATACTTGTTTTCGTAGCAGAGCTAGTACCAGGGGATAGGAAATGTGACGGCACCGGGTGGTACTTGGTGAGGGTTGTAGAGGGGAAGAGATCCAACATACCGCTATAGTTGCGCGCCTTCGGGGATACTCGGTTGCTTCAGAATTGTTGCGCTATTTTGCTGAGGTTGAATCGAGAATAGTATCACTGTCAAGTTCCTGACAAGACATGATGCTTTCAGCCCTCGGTGCATGCGAAACGCAGATCCCGGACAGTGTATGGCTTTGACAACATGAAGCCAATGATAAGGCCAAAGGGGCGTTGTTGTGTTCAAGGGTGCACAAAGACTGTCGCCCACGCGGCCACTAGCAGTTTTAATTGGCGCCCATATGAGGGGAAATAAGACAATAATCTTTGCCCTTAAAGAGGAACCCAAGCAATGCTACTAGCTAGGTGCTTTACCTACTTCGGCACGGAGCTTACTTGCCGCCCGTCAATGCTACTAACAGGTAACAATAAAGGCAAATACTATTTATTGGTGGACCGAGGCATGGAACCTGGCTAAAGTGCTTTGCTATGGCTGTCCGATAACTAGTCACGGGAAACAATATGTGAAGCTTTCTTACATTCACGTCTTCCCGCCTGCCTATTGATTTAATATACAACCGGTAAGTCACATCGTAGCAGGCTTAAACCGCACTCCGAGATTCAGCAGACCGGACTTCACCTACGCCTGTGCCCGAGTGGCTTTTCTTCCCCAATCCGCTGCCCCTCTCTGAGTTGGCGGTTGACTGTTCATCGCTGCTTCTCGTTGTGTTGTAGCTGCTGCTGGCTGGATTATGTTGGCGAGCCGGCGCCTTTCGGTCTTCGCCGTCATTACCTGTAGACGCTGTTGCAGAGACGTTCTTACTGGTTTCGCTGAGCTCAGCATGAGGGTCGAAAGTTTTAGTAGTAGTTGGACCAGCACTGCCAGAGATAGGGATCACGCCTGCAATACCGTTGACTTTCTCCCCAGTAATGTCGTCATCTTGATTCCCTTCAAACCTCTCGCCTTTCTTTTTGTTGATATCAGTGGTACTGGCATCAGCATTGGTGTCACGACCGCTATTCACGCGCGGTCCAGTCGTGTTCCTAGAATTGCTCGTCTGTGATGCGGTGGCCATTGACGCTGGAACTTCAGTGCCATGTCTCGACTCAGCAGGGCCTGACATGCTAGTCTGAGACTGGCGCAGAAACGAGTCATGTTGAGGATATTGATCTCCTGTCCCATGGGCGTTGCTGCTTCCATAGCTACTCTTGATAAGCGGCTCCTTGTTGTCCTCAGTGTTCCTCGGCTCGAACTCAGTGGCCGTCGATGATGGAGCTCTAGAACCATGCGATGACTCGGTAGCAGCAGGTATAGTCTGCTGGGACTGATGGCGAGGTGAGATATTCTGAGAGCTCTGACCGCACAGTTCTTTTGAGTTGTAGGAGTTGATGTTATCAAAGTTGTTGTCCATGTGCGGACCAGAGCTCTCAACATTGCTCGACTGGAATCCGGCAACTGTCGGCCTTAGAACATTGGTGCCATATGATAACTCGGCTGAACCCGGGGCGTTGTATTGAGACTGGTGAAGTGGTGACTCGTGCTGCGTGGGTTGTTCACTTGTGTTTTGTAGATACTGTTTCTGGCTCGGGCTTATAGCACCTTGGGCGTAGGAACCAGTATTAGATGAGATGCCGGGAGTACGGTCATACCGATCGCCGACAGCCCTCCGATCAATGGAGTCAGTGATACTGCTTGGGTGGCGATTTTCGGAGTACCCATACGAGCCACTACCGGTGTCGTTCGCATCATTGTTGTAGGTACTGACGTCGCGACGAAGGTCTGACGCGCTTGTACCAAAGGCATGTTCCGTTGCTTCGACGTTATAAGACGGATCATCGATGGGGTCCATGATGTTGGCCATTTTCGACAGTCAAATCAAATGCACGATGGTGTCTTATTCTATCAGGCTTTGCGTCAGGGCTGAGGCAGGAGGTGAATGAGGCATATACTCTAATGAAAATGATTGATTGTCTTGTGGATATTGTCCACCGGCATGGTCGTGAGGCATGACTGTTTAAGTATTCCTCAACCCCTCTGTGTAGGGCGTAAGATGACGTCGATACTAGTAGGTTATCTTGATTTTGATTTTACCTGTATTAATCATGATATCCCAAGATGAACTTTTACGTAGTTGTGGATGTCGATCCAGGCAGGACCATGACGTATGCCCACGGCTACGGTAAACAACTCGCCATTGACAGTCCACAGTAGTCAGAAGTATTAGTAAGTACTAGTCACAGTGAAACAACCGGCATCATCTTATTACTGTCTATGGGTACTGACCCTAGCATGCTGTCATAGCTCCTGGGCTCGCTTATCGGCATTGGTTAGACCAGTGAGTGGGTTTTCATGCACCCCCTCTCTCCACAAATGGATTAGGATCATTTTGTCCAACCTTCATGTACTCCGTACGGTGATGGATAAGATCTCTCGGAAGCCGAGATTGGGTGACCATCAGTCAGATTGTTGTTCAATAATTAACTATTCAATCAACCAATCATCAGAGTCAATTACCTTGTAAGTAGAATAAGACGTGATATGTTTGAAAGCCGCGTGAGTATAGTTGCTGGATCCTTAATGAAATATAGCCTGCCGTTTCTGTACTGATCCTGTGAATGCGAACAGTGAAGGAAAAGCTCAAACATAGAAATTACAATCAATGGGGCAGCTTCATTGTGTTAGAAGTTGCTAGTTACTTTTGTACATCGTACAAAAAGTATACGTGTGGATCCACACCCCACGCACGCGTGGTTCTCGGCGCGCCAGGTTTCCCGCCAAAACAACGGGACGCGCAAAAGCCTCCATGGAGATTGCTATTGATTGCAAACCACTAATCAACCTTCCCTGCTCGTTAGATACAACACAGTGCCATCATCGGCCTTGTCGCACATATATCATTGTTTACACAGTGTTAACACAGGTTATACTTGTTCCGAAGCCACAGAAGACACCCTGTAGGCGTTATCTACCTACGCAAAGCCCCGTGCTATACACAGATCCTCCGTGTGGTTGAGCAGGGCACGGCACCAAATACAGGCCCGCCTTTTCCTTCACCTCGACCTTATCACTCACAAGTCTCTACAGTTCTAGACACAAATCGCAAAATGCCGAGGCCGCCCACAAAACGCAATCGCTTGACATCCAAGGTTCCGCCAGCCGTCGAAAATGAAAGTCAACAGATCTCTGGACGGCATGGTATATCCTCGAAGGCAAACACCAAGCCCACAGAAGACGCAAACCAGGTCGTCATGGAATTTCCTGAGGTGGCCCAAAGTGGCCAAGTCTCGGAGATCAGGCGGCAATTGCGGAATCAGACGCCTTTAACGAGAGCACAAGAACATGCCATTGAGTCTTCGCCCATTGGGGGGCGTGAGAACACAGGCAGTCGCCCGGCTACGAGAGCTCGAGGGTACTCATCAACCCTCTCCGTTGTCGGGAGAAAGGGCGATACAAACTCCAAAGTCCCAGGGACTCCCGCATTCGAAAGCTCGATATTAAGTAATTTTAGAAGGAGGCCCCGGCAACCAAGCATCTTGCAGATGATGCAAGCAGAGGACGGTTCCTCTGACCTTGATGATGATGTTTTCCTCGGTAGTTTGAGCCCGGAAGATGAGTCCACCCCTTTGAATCTCCCAAGGGGTAGGCCACTCCTAATCGGACAAACTGCGTCACCATCGCCTAGACATCCAACTTCGTCCAGTGATGGGTCGCGCAAGCGTAAACTATCTGGCGAGGCACCATATGCTTCTCAATCAGACTCGGAAGATACCGAACATTCGCCTGCCACATCGCCTACATCACACTGGCGACAAAGCGGGTTTGATGTGTCTGTTGGCCATACTCAAAACCAGAACTCCCCTGGCGCATTCAGCCAAACGCTGGCCCCTCCCATGAGCAGCCCGCCAATCAGCCCGACACATACGATGTCACCATCTGGAGTGGCGCAGCAGAAGCATATAGACAAGTCAGCTGAGCCGGCAACCAGTAAGAAGCTGGTCTTACCGACGTCAGCCCTTCAAGACAGGCTTCTACCTCGGAGGAACCGCTCACAACGTAAACGCTCTGGTATGGACGGTTCTGAGATCCCAGAAGATCCAAGTGATTGCGATCATTACGCCACTGCGCAGGATGACGACGATGACGAATTGTACTACCTACCGCCCAAGAGGTCATCCCGGGCACAAAGAAAGCACTTGGTGGAACAGAAATCCGCGAAAAGTACCAGAACTGCACAGGGGCCGCAGCCAATGGCAAATAGTGTCGAAGGCCAGATAACAGGCGGCCGGAACCCTGCGGCTCAGCCGAATGCTACGGCAAGAAAACCTGGAGTTAAAAAAGTGACACACGGATTGGGAACCTTGAGAACAATGGGACCTAATAAAGAGAATGAGCTGGCTGATACATCGCCTTTATCATCCCTTTTGTCATCCCCCCCGGACTCAGAGGCGTCCGAGTCCGAGTCCGAGTCCACTGCACAGTTTACCCTGGGCAGTCATTTCCTTAGCGATGAATTGAGGTTGCAAGCGATGAAATTTGCGGATGTTGATAAGTGGGAGTTAGATTTCGAAGACGTGGCACCTGACAGCCAAGGCAGTGAAGCCTTCAGATAGCAGACAGCTGTATGATTGTTGCTCACGCGGCTAAATACGATTAGTTATGGATCAACTAGTTATCTAAGCGAATGGTCAGATTTGTCTGAGTAAGGTGATAGCCGCGCTGTTGCGATGATAACCGGCAACAGAGTCCGCCAAAATAAACCCCGCAAATTAACCCCGCCGGATTCAAATTCTTCGACGCCCATGGTTTTCCTCCTAACAGTCATTTGATTCAAGACCGCTTCCTAACATCCACTTGGAAACCCCAATCATGACTACCTTGGATTCCATTCTGGCAGGCCGATACCCTGCCAAAGCCCATGCCCGCCGGGTTGCCGAGCGTCTTCAAGTGGGCGGCTCTGGCCGGAATGGGATTATTTACCTTGAAGCACAGAAAACTCGACTGATCGAGGATAATGATGAGGCGATGCACTTCAGGTACGACAGCTCATATTAGCTCTGTTCCATATGCTCTACCGTTGCCGCTCAATCACTCAAGGCTTGCAAAGCTAATCAAGCTTCATGGCTTAGACAACGCCGACCCTTTTTTTATTTGTCAGGGTGCCCGCTGCCAGATTCGTCTCTGATTTATAACATTGCGTCTGATAAATTGACCCTGTTTATCCCACCAATTGATCCAGAGGATGTGATTTGGTCAGGTCTTCCCATGTCTGTTGCAGAGGCACTGAGACTCTACGATGTTGACCAAGTGCTACACACTACCGATGTAAATGCCACGTTGGCCTCTATTGCCTCGGATGGGAATGGTAAATCTGTTGCCTTTGCGATCGAGGGCCAGATTACAGAAGGAATCAAATTCGACGGGTTTCTCGAAACCAATACTTCCGTATTGAAGGGAGCCATCGACAGCACGCGTGTAGTCAAGGACGAATATGAGATCGCGCTCTTGAGAAAGGCAAATGACATTTCCGCCAAGGCGCATATAGCTGCCATTGAAGCATCTAAGACCGCCACCAATGAGCGTGAGATTGAGGCTGCTTTCCTCGCAACCTGTATCGCCAATGGTGCCCGTGATCAAGCTTACCACCCCATCGTTGCCTGCGGCCAGAACGGAGCCACTCTCCACTATGGAAGGAATGATGACGACTTAGTTGATCCAGTCACCAAGGCGGGGAAGTCAAGTGTCCTTATCGATGCTGGGGCGGAGTACAGAACATACTGTGCTGATATCACGCGTGTTTTTCCTTTGGGTGGAAGATTTACCAGTGAAACACAGGAAATTTACAAAATTGTGCTACAGATGCAGTTGGAGGCTATCGCAATGTTGAAAGAAAATGTGCAGTGGGAAGATGTCCATGCGCATGCCCATCGCATTGCGATCAAGGGCTTGCTCAAATTGGGAATTCTGCGTGGCTCTGAAGACGAATTGTTCGAGAAGAGGATTAGCGTCGCCTTCTTCCCTCATGGTCTAGGCCACTATCTGGGCATGGACACCCACGATACTGGTGGCAACCCCAACTATGCAGATAAAGACACCATGTTCAAGTATCTACGCGTGAGGGGCCGTTTACCCGCAGGATCAGTTATCACCGTTGAACCAGGTGTAAGATTTCCTCACCCTTTTTGATTGCTAACTCGCTAAATAATCCTTTAGATCTACTTTTGCCGGTTCATCATCGAACCGTACCTGACCTCCCCTGAGACCAGCAAATATATTGATACCAACGTCCTTGAGAAGTATTGGAATGTTGGGGGAGTACGCATTGAAGATAATGTCCACGTTACTCAGCAAGGTTACGAGAATCTGACCACAGCGCCAAAGGCTATAGAAGAAGTGGAAGTTCTAGCCACTTAGTGATCATTTGATGTATCCAGAATTCATGGCCGGTTTGCTTCCTCATAGCTCCTTAGATAAAGCATCCGATTTAGAGAGCCCTGCAGCATTTGAATCCCGCTACGTACTAATTCTGGTAGGCATACATCATATGTTGATAGGTAAGCAGCAGTCGGCCAGGGATGGTAGGGAGTGACTGCGATGGTCGCAAAGCTTTACTCGGAAAGTTTGCGTAAACATGCCCTAGAACAGCTGTATGGACCAGCCATTTTGGTTAGGCACGAGTAAAGATACTCGGGATCGGTAAAAGGGAAGAATCCTCGTACTGAGCCCTGGGACCAAATGCAGTATAGCTGGAGCAGGCAATCCTAGGGGCTCGTTGGCGACAAATTGCGGGTCATTAGGCGAGTTCTCATGTCGTACAGGACGATGTACCTTCTGGCTTTCTGCCTGCAACCAAGCAAAGGGTTGCGGCATTCGTGTTCCCAATTATCCGGTGTACGATTCAATCATATCTTCAAACCATTTCGTTTGCTATAACCCACTCCGAAGTCGTTTCCGTCCGCTTCCTTTCACAGCTGACTCTGACTCTGCCTTGTCCTGAGCACGCTTCTCCTTCTGATCGAGGACAAGACTAAGAACATCGAAGCTGAATTGGGGAACCTCAAGACAGAGTTTTCGGAATTCGTCTTCAGCTTCGTGGCGCAGGATGTGGCTCCTCAGGGCCCAGAACGTAGCCACTGGCTTTCGGATAGTAACATCGTCGACCGGAGTATTCATGTAGACATAGCGAGCATATGCAATCTCGCCATGCGAGGTGCTGTTTATACGATGGATCTTCGAGTGTGCTAGCGTCTTGAGCGCGGGGATCCCCAATTTGTCGGCTAAGGTGTATACTCGCGCATGCTTCAACAATTGTTCCCCACTATCATCTATTCCACCGGATACTGCTTCTTGTTCGGTATGGGATTCAAGCTGGGAGGCGGAATAATCGCGGGTATACTGGAATTGGAGGAAATAACCAAAGGCTTCCACATTCTCCTCGGGAAGCTCAATGCAACGCTATCAGGTATCAGAGCGCGGTCATGCAAGAGAGTAAAATGCATCAATCACTTACAGAGCTCGATTCACCCAAAGCCTTGACCTTTTCTGCAAGGACAGGCGACTCTAAAAGCAGACTTTGATGTGCTGACAAGCTAGTTTTGCCCTCTCCGGTTCCGACAATCAGTTCAACGATAGGTGACTTTAGAAAGCTGGAAGACTGTAAGTTACAGAGTCATGTACAGAAGCAGGGAAAGAAGGCGTGGAAAACAGAAAGTTGTGCTGGAAAAAGGAGACGGGCCCTTACTCTAGAAATTGAAAGCCAGGATTTTTCTTGGGCGGTGCTGGTGCCGTTTCTGGCTCAGCTGCGCCAGCGTCTGGCAGATCGATGTCTTCAGTGGGGTCTGCTTGGCCTTCGTTCACTGCGTCCACATCACGGTCGCTCGTAATTTCTAGAGGGTGCGTGCTTTCGCCTTCTTTTCCAACGTTCGCAGAGCTCTCCGGCGCATCCACGTGAACCTGAGGCGCGTCCATAATTTCGTATGCGAGCTAAGGAATCGGGCAAGGATGCGCGTTGGGATATGAAGTTCCAGCTACCGTGGTTTGACAAAGAAGGAAGGGGTAGGTATATGAGAGGACTAGATACCTGCCGCTAAGCAGCAGAGACACAAATGCCTCAACAAGATGGATAGACGTGAACGAGCGGTTGCAATACTGGGTTCAGGACTATGAAAGGAACCACAACAATGTCAATCTTACTCCCATCACTACTAAGTAGGTAGCCTTACTAGTTTGGTACGTTTGGTACTAGTAGTTCGGATATGGTAAGGCCCAAAAAGCAAGTCAAGCTAGGCCTGAAAGAAAGGGACTCGTGGTAAACATACAGATACAGTAGATAAACACGACGTAGCTAATTCTCCAGCGATTCAGCCCTGAGACATCATTTTCCTCGCAAAAACGGTCGTACGAAATTAGTCTGCCATCATGCTGTAGATAGTAGATACTAGATAGTAGTCTACGCCATGGCTCAAAGGCCCACAATCTATTTAGCGTGCAATTGAGCGAGTTGGCGGATTTGGGTTCCACTTGGAAGTTCTTCTCCGTATGGACTCCGTGTCTGCTCCGTACCTGCATGGTAGGTACTCGTAGAATCAGGCAGCTAGCAGCGACTAAACCCACGCTTGAAAGGCCGCAAAACTCTCCATTCGCCTCAGAATATTGATTGGCACTGCACAGTTCTATCCATTGGATGGTAGTGCAAAGTGATCTCATTTTCAAGCAAAGCAGTGACATGATGGTGCCATACAGTATTGTTTAGTCACACTTGTAGAAGCACTTAACTACGGCTAAATAGTAGTACCTTGCAATGGTTAGCAGTAGCCTTTTCAGTTGCCGAAATAACTAGTTAGATTCTTGAACATGTGGAAGACTTGGTCGTCAAGAACGCCTTCAATTGACAAGACAGGAAGGTCTATCATCGTCAGTACATGATGCGATGTAATTGTATATATATGTGGACATATATGTATCTGTAAACACATTCTAGCACTGAGATCAAGATCAGCTATACCCTGGGTACAACGAAAAGCAGCAAAGGAGCAAATACATTCTGCATCAGTAGCGTCACACACACACACACACACACACACACACACACAAAAGGGAAAATCAACCGTCAAGGGTACGGAAAACAAGAGTAGTAAGTAAGATACACCCAGCATCTAGTATGTGTACAGGCCGAGATGAGAGAGATGGTTACTAGAAAAGAAAGGTGGAGGAAGAGGAGGTATCATCAGGTGCGGGGCAGGGATGTCTTGGAACGTGAATGTAACAGAAATTAAGAGAAAGACGAACTTGGGAAGAGACCCGAGTCTTCCGCCCGCAGAATTCGAATTGATAGGATGGTTCTCCCTAGTCTAGGTAAGCTAAAAATCCCACTTCAATTTGAATAATTTAATAATAGTGTAAAAATAAAAGAAAGGGATAATGAAGAATTTTTACTTTCTCTTACCCATCCAGTCATCCGGACGGTAATATAAAGAGGGGCACATGCAACCTATTCCTTTCACTTTGTTCTGGCGGATTAGCTCCCCACGAGTTCCCTGCTTTACCGGTCTGAAGGCCAACGTCAACTCTTCGATTCAAGTCCGGTGGTCCCTTCGACTACCCCAGATTCACAGACGTAGCATGGCGATTAGCATCCACCCCCCCAGGGATCCCAATACCCTTAGCAACTATAACAACTGGATATGCACCCACATCACTGCCAACTTCGACATCCTTTTTGACCAGAGAAAGCTCGTGGGAAACGTCATTCACAAGCTCAAGTCAACTACCAACGGCGAATCGCAGGAGATCATCTTGGACTCTAACCATGTGGCAATCGGAGACGTCAAAATTGACGGCAGGCCTTCTGAGTGGGAGCTTCTCCCTCCGTTGGAACCTTATGGCTCTGCCTTGAAGATCAAGCTCGATCAGGGAGTAAACTTGAACGAAACCATTGACGTTGAGGTACATATAAAATCGAAATACCAGACACTTTCCTCGTTTTCTGGCCTAACACCGCAGACATTTAGATCTCCGTTCAGACCACTGAAAAGTGTACCGCACTCCAATGGCTGACCCCGGCCCAAACGTCCAACAAGAAGCATCCATACATGTGTAAGCGAGTACAATCTTTCTCCCGCCCAGTTTCTGTGAGAACTCTCTCAGACCAGGTTTAAAATCAATCAATTTGGAGCTGCTCACAAGAGTCATATCTAGTCTCTCAGTGCCAGGCGATCCATGCACGATCCATATTTCCTTGCCAGGATACGCCTGATGTTAAGAGTACCATCGATTTCAACATCTCGTCCCCCCTTCCTGTGATTGCTAGTGGCTTGCCTGTCCGGGATGCTCTGGGTGCGTCGAAATCGGAGGGCAAATCTTTGTACCAGTTTCATCAACGCGTCCCAATCCCGAGCTATCTCTTCGCTCTAGCCAGCGGGTAAGCCTGTTGTCTATCCGTGAATCCCAATCAACTCCATTTGGCTCACGAATGACAGTGACATTTCAGAAGCTGCAATCGGACCCCGCAGTGTTGTGGCCACCAGCCCGGACAAGGTCCAGGAATGCCAGTGGGAGCTCGAAGCAGATACGGAGAAGTTTATCGGCGCAATTGAGGTTTGTGAGCCGCTCAGTGCAATGGAACATCTCTGACCAAGGCAGAAAATTGTATACCCTTACGCCTGGGGCGAGTATAATGTTCTGATTCTCCCACCAAGCTTCCCTTACGGAGGAATGGAAAATCCCATCTTCACGTTCGCCACTCCCAGTATTATTTCTAAGGTGCGAATCAGAAGCTATCTTGTGCAATAAGTTGTTGCTTAATACTTAACTTGACGGATTAGGACCGAGAAAATATTGATGTCATTGCCCACGAACTCGCGCACAGCTGGAGCGGCAACCTCGTGACCAATGCATCATGGGAACATTTCTGGCTGAATGAAGGCTGGACCACCTATTTAGAGAGGCGGGTAAGCTTGTTTTTCCTGGGCCCCCTCCCCTCGGCTGAGGCAGCATAATCCTTTTTCGCTGACAACGCTCTAGATCCTAGCTGCCGTGTGAGTGTAGCATCTTGTCTTGTCGCTGCAACCAGTTACTAATCGGAACTAGACATGGGGAAGCATATCGGCATTTCTCCGCCATTATAGGTTGGAAAGCACTCACTGATTCCGTGGAGCATTTTGGGCATGACCACGAGTTCACTAAATTGATTACGGACCTCAAGGGCAAGGACCCGGATGATGCGTTTTCTAGTATCCCTTACGAGAAAGGATTCAACTTCTTGTTCCACCTGGAAACACTTGTAGGAAAACAGAAGTTTGACCGTTTTATCCCTCACGTGAGTTACCTAGGCTCACAAGCAAACCGTATCTACTGACTCAAATTCGTTCCATCAGTACTTTACTGTGTTCAAGGGAAAGTCACTAGACTCCTACGAATTCAAAGCGACTCTCCTGGATTTCTTTGGCACTGACGCGGAAGCGTCTAAGCTGTTGAATGATCTCGACTGGGATACATGGTTCTATGCCCCTGGGTTACCTCCGAAGCCTCAGTTCGATACATCACTTGTTGACGTTGTTTACGAACTTGCCCAAAAATGGAAGTCACTTTCTGAAACTTCCTCCTTCAAGCCGCAGCTAAGCGATATCGAGAGCTTGTCTGCAAATCAGATCGTCGTTTTCTTGGAACAGATGCTTCTTCTTGAGCGGCCACTTACTCCCGAACTGTCGAAGCTCATGGGCGAAGTTTATGGACTTTCCAAGAGCGAGAACATAGAGGTCGCCAACCTGTATTTCCAACTGGGCCTGAAAGCTGGTGATGAGAATGTTGTCGACCCGGCGACCGAACTACTGGGCAGAATTGGTAGAATGAAGTTTGTGAGGCCACTGTAAGCTATCTTGCAACCGAAAAGACAATTTATGGCGCTGACCAAGCAATCAGGTTCCGGAGCTTGCAGAGAGTCAACCGTGAGGTTGCAGTCGCAACTTTTGAGAAGTACAAGGACTTCTACCATCCGATATGTCGAGCAATGGTTGAGAAGGACCTTTTTGGGAAGAGGGACGTATAGCAAAATCGACAAAACTCATGAGCTTCTTGACTGATTCACATAATGGGTAAGGCCGTTGATAAAAATGACCTGCCATTTCATATCTAAAATGATTTTCCGACAACGTCAACTACGCTCATTAGCCATGGCAGTGATAGCAAAGTATGCAAGTATTCCCACACAAAGACTTAAGTGATGCAAGGTCAAGCCCAATATGTTACATTATAAAAGGTAGACATGATGGTTATTCGTACAAAGAGCGAACAAAAGAGCGCCGATGGCTAGTTCCAAACCCACATTGTCACCGCTTGCTATCGACCATCTTTTGATCGACATCGGAATAAGAGAAAATACCCGGCTTCCCGTTCCTTTGCCGGTCCAATTGGAAGACCAAATCCGCTTCATGCACCTGAGAGAGTTCGGAGAGCACTCGCCGCATATACGCGACGACCTGAGCTATCTTCGACCAATCCAAGTCCTTACCGTCTGGTGCAGTATGGCTCGCCTTCCAGAGGTTTCTCCAAACGGCAGCTCCCAGCACTGCATCTCCTTTGATTAGACCTTCGTCGTAGGCTGCCAAAACACCGCGCCACTGGATAAAAAGATCCTTGAGAAACTTATTGCGTATACCGCGGCTCGTCAATCCGTGAAGCACATCCATGCGATGTTCGGCACTATGTGAGAAGTGATCGATTAAGTGCCGTGAGTAGGTTTGAAGGCTGTCATGCGACGGCAACGCGCGCAACCGGACCGTCAATAGGTACATGTGCAGGAACGTAACCTGCGACCATGTTGAGAAAGTAGGAACGAGGCCCAATTCTATTTAATTGAGCTCTTTAGCCGCGCACCCCTAGGTACCACGCGCCTCCATCTACGAAATGAAGACACTTAGAGTAAACTCACCTTCATACCACCATCCTTCACCTACTCCCAAGTCTTCCCCGGCACTTGTCTTGGGCACCTGAGCCCCCTTCTGAGACAACTGAGGTATCTTGTAGTCTGCTTGTTTGGAGCAGGCTTCGAGTAGTTTTTGCGTCATTCCGTAAGCAACGTAGGTTTCTGCTGCAGTACCCGGGCGCGGCCCGATCGCACGAGCTAGCTGGGAAGAATTCCGGCGACTTTGCGAAGGAAGAACGAAGCATGAGGCTAGCGGCTGTTGCTGATGGCTAATGTGGCGGTGAGACACCGAGGGCTTCAAGCCGTGAATTGATGGAAGGTGTGTCTTGTTATACGTTTGTACCTAATATGATTGCCTTGTCAGACGGAACGTTATCCATTTGTTTTCTCTGCCAGATGAGGCCGTACCTGGGGCCGCGGGCATTGAAAATTGTAGAGCCCCCGAAGGGACAGAGTCTTCGAGCCTGCGGAAGGCATTGCTGGATGTCTGTATATCACCACCACCTGATTGCTTCTGGTCGGTGTTTATGCTCGCTTGGACCGAATGAAACCTTGTTGCATGAGATTGTAGATGGGGGTCTTGAGTACAATTCGAAAACTTGAGACTACTCCATACTCAGGATAAATCTAGAAGCCTGCGGGACCAACCATGTTTGCATTGTTTGCCGCCAAGCGATCCGCGGTTCATCTACCAGGTACGTCACGACTTAACCTTACCATATTAAGTGGACTGTGACAAGCATAAGCCCCTAGAAAGATTAAGTAGAAATGAAATTAACAACAATGAGCAGGACCACTGAGAGGCTCCAGAGGGATAGTAAAAAATCATTCTGCCTATATTACCTACCCCATTACTATGACACCCCTTCGTAAACTAAGCTATGGTATGTGAGGACTACCATGATAGTATCGTCACATATCATTTGAACGTGATTCCTCAGGGCTTTAATGAATACCATCCTCTAATGACCTTGCCTCACTGAGTAAAGATAATCGCAGCCAGGCCACCGGGCGTGGCGTTGCCTCGACCGCGCTCTTCATTTATCCGGAATACTGCGGGCATGAGTTGACCTAAGTAGCACTGGAGCGACTCCAAGCACTGAAGGCAGTAGACTATGCCTATCTATGTGGCGAGATAGAGCGGCCATTCCTATATCGGTTGCACTTCTTACAACCAGCTGGAGCCGCGACTGTGAATGGGCCTCATTTTGTGGTAGATGGGGGTAGACTGCGGTAGTGAGTATCCATCGTATTGGTGCTTCATTCATTGAGAGACACCCTCTCTAAGCGCTTTTCGACGAGCGGAAGAATTTCCGAAAGCCTATTAGGGTCTCTCATGACCGCTGGCACATCGTCTCTGGTCGTTGCTAAGGTCTGAAAACTAGTTAGCACTTTGGCCACTCAGATCTAGTACCCGAAATCAAGGTATGCGACAAGCTTACCCGTCTTACTGCTTCATAGTCACATTCTCTAGATTGATATTCTCTGATGATCTCCCTTTCCTCGAAGTCAACGTAGACTCTCGTGTCCCGAAGCCGGAACAGAACGTTGTCTAGTCGCATGAAGAACCTCGTAAGGAGAAGCAGCCTAGATGGCATGACTCGGATCTTGCATGATAACATAGTAATGCCGTTATCAGCAAGTTCATCCTCATAAAGGATGACGTCGTCATAAAACAAGATAGGGTCCGGCCGCTTCAACAGTTCGATAGGGATAGGCTTCGTTGTTGCTACGAAGGGCCGACTCCCAGGTTTCACTGTGCCCATGTAGTCCGTAGTGTAAGACCAATCGAAGGGTTTAACAATTTCTTTGATTCCTTCGTGAGTCTTCTCCCTAACAACCAGTCAGTCACAAACATGTGCAAGTGACCCGTGAGGTAAGCAAAGATGGTGGAGTACCTGCTCTTCTGCCACTCTCTCGAGTATGCGACTTTGAGCATCGATGTACCGGTTTTGTCCACACGGTCCAAGGCGTCAAACGCGTTGAAAGCTATTCCCCAAGAACTTTGTTCATGTTCAATCGCAACGAAATTGTCACCAAAGATCATTTCTGGTGGGGTTATTCCTAATTCTTTCGTCATTTCCTCGATTGGATCCGCCTTGAGTATTGGTAACTTCTGAGTGCTGATCTTGAATCCTTTGACCGTCACGGAATTGGGCTTCTGAAAGCTGGGCGAAGTTGCGGTACTCGCCATATTTGCTGACGCCGCGTTGCTACGTGAAGTCATGCTATGCTATATTGAGTGGGTGGCAAGTGACGGTGATAAATTATACACAGGCAGGAGAAGGAATAGGAGAATATGAAAGGTGTCGGAGAAGAGAGAATAATCCTTTTGATTCACAGATATGCATCATCGGCGTCCCCCATGGCCAGCCGATAGATCATACCCCGCGGTGTCGGAGAAAGAGGCGGTCCGATCTGTTGCTGGGGTGATGTGTATGGAAACCAAACCGGATAAACATCCGAGCGTCGCTAGAGGACTGCCAGTTCTCCTCAACCTTATTTATCTACTCACTCGTTCTCCATTATTCTCTTCCAGCTCATCATCTAGACCAATATTCTCTCTATAGACTCTCTAGGGCTTGACTATGACTTTGTAAGGCACGATAGTCCTGATAATCGCCTGCAACCTCGTTTAGCTTTCTCCGTCGCCAATCACTGTCGATTACATTTTTCTCCATGGCCTCCAAGACATTGGAAGCGCGCCTTGAGCGCCTTTCCGTCAAAGACGAAAATGACAGCGGACACAATGGCGGTAGCTACCCGAAACCTAAGGTATGAGTCCTGGAGTATGCCTTGTATAGCACATGGCCTGTTAATGCCGTACATCAGAGCTCCCTATCAACAGCTATGTCCCTTTCGGGCCTTGGAGCTGCAGGGCAATATAGCGGCTCCAATCGATCCAACCTGCTGAAGCTAGCCCTACAAAATACCAATGACAACAAAGTCAATGCCATGAACGTTGCTCAGTCCCCTACAAAGGGCTCCCAGAACACCTTACCGAGTCGCAACCTAGATGAGAATGGAGAGCAACGACACCCTAACCCGCTATATGATCAACCGGCACCAAAGAAGCTGCACCTTGGAATGTTTGAAATTGGAAAGCCTTTGGGAAAAGGGAAGTTTGGTAGGGTGTACCTGGCCAAAGAGCGGTCTTCTGGTTTTGTATGTGCGCTCAAAGTCCTACACAAATCTGAGCTGCAGCAGGGTGGAGTGCAGAAGCAAGTCCGCCGGGAAATCGAGATTCAGAGCAATCTTCGTCATCCGAATGTTCTAAGGCTCTACGGACACTTCCATGACAGCAAGCGGATCTTTTTGATTCTCGAATTTGCCGGCCGGGGGGAGTTATATAAACACCTTCGCAAGGAACATCGATTCCCTGAATGGAAAGCTGCCCAGTACATCGCCCAAATGGCTGCTGCCTTGAAATACCTTCACAAGAAGCATGTCATGCATCGTGATATCAAACCCGAGAATATCCTAGTCGGCATCCACGGGGAAATCAAGATCAGTGACTTTGGATGGAGTGTACATGCACCCAACAACCGGAGGCAAACAATGTGTGGAACATTGGACTACCTTCCTCCCGAGATGCTCAAGCCGGGTTCACAGGATAATTACTACAATGAAAAAGTCGATCTGTGGAGCTTGGGTGTTTTGACCTACGAATTTCTTGTTGGAGAAGCTCCCTTTGAGGACACCCCTGTTATGACACAGAGGCGGATTGCAAGAGCGGATATGTCGGTTCCCTCATTTGTGAGCCCTGAGGCGAGAGATCTTATCAAACGGGTATGTGAGGCCCAGCCGCCCCTGATGGAGTATCTGCTAATGCTTTCTAGCTTCTTGTTCTGGATCCTGAGAAGCGAATCTCTCTTGATGAAATCCAGAGGCATCCCTGGATTCTTAAACACTGTGTTAAGGATGAGCGAACCATGAAGCGCAGTTCTGGTTCTGCTTCGTCAAAGGATGCCAAACAATAATGTAATACTCATGCATTCATGGCGCTTTGGTGTTGAGACGTGTGGTCTTTCCCTGCCACTCCAACCAGTGGCCTTTTTCCGATTTATTTCGTGTGGAATGCGTTGAGCATGCTGGAGTTTTACGATTATCTGCTTTCTGCGGCGTCCGGTTCCCTGGGTCTATTATTTATTGGTATATCTTTGCAGGTGGCGTATCAAATAATATATACACACGAGTGCCCTCTATTGCAGGACTGCAACGCTCAAAAATGGTAGTATCATCGGTATATCTCGTCGAAGGGGCGGGTGTCCCTAAAACAGCTGTCCCATACTTCGTTTACAACCTTCTCTGCATGGGCTTCATCCTTGCATCCTGGCCTTGCTCGTACAGACAAGATAGCCCTTCTTCTAACACACTCTTGATGCTGTTGTGTAAACTTCCACTGACCCCTCCGGAAGAACTCGCGCGCCCACCGACATTCCCCACTAAGGGAGCTGGCTCGAATCTATATTTTGTGTCAGCCGATGGATCTCAAATTCAGGTGGTCATCATCCCGGGAGAGTAATTACCTCGGTACAAGCTGCGTGCCGCAAATTGTTCATCCAGTCAACCTTGAATCTCAGGTGATCGTAGGCGTGGACCATCTCATGAGCCATTGTGTCCTCCAGATGTCCCTGGTCCTTCATCTCATTCGCGCAAATTAAGATACCATAGTCAGGGTCGAAGCCTCCAGCTTTTCGATTGGTACATCGGCGGCAATAAATATTATGGCTATGGAGGTCTCCCCCAAGCTGTCGAATACTGTCACTCATGAACCGAATTATGGGACCTTGTGATTTCTTGCATTAGCTGTGATCCTGAGTGAGTGACAAAGCCCTGCGCATCCGCGAACAGCAAAGGGGAAATGACTCACTGAACTGTAAGAGATAATCACGCTGATCCTCGCAACGTTTACAATCGGCGACCTCATTCCGAATGTCCCGGGCAACACGAAACTGTTCTTTCCCTTCATCAGTCATTCGCCCTGCTAGGATGGAGAAGATATTGCGCCATTGCGTCCAAGTGTCGTCGCCAGGTATGTAACCTGTATCCTGATTGCCGGGTTGCGAGCCGTTATTGGAAGACTCGGAAGTCGACATTTCGCCCAAAGTTTCAAGGATGAGAAAGCCAGCGCAGTGAACTGGATACGGAAGAAGCGCTGCGGAAAGATCGTCCAGGCCGATTCCGCCCTCAGCTCTCCGCATTGGCGGTGAAGGGCGTACCTGGCAAAAAATAGAAATTCCCCGGAAAATCACACACGGCAAATGGGCATGCCCGATCATGCTACAAAGACTAGCGCAATCTGTCTGACATCGTCGTGTCTGGGAGGGAGGTCGGATCCCGCCGTTTACCAGTGTCGCCGTCAGATGGGTGACTGTTAGAAATATTCGTCTAACTAATCAACTCCAACTTCACTTTACAATGGCTTCAAAACGTCTCACGATCGTCATCAAATTAGGTGCGGGGTATCCTACTACAAGCCTGCGCATTTACTGTTACAGAAACGCTAACGTTCATTCGTGGTACAAACAGGGACGAGCTCCATCGTGGATGAGAACACCCATGAGCCTATACTGTCTATATTAACCTTAATTGTGGAGACCGCCGCAAAACTTCATCGCGACGGACATAATGTTGTGCTCGTTTCGTCCGGTGCTGTCGGCGTTGGTTTACGGAGAATGGATATCGACGAGAGGCCGAAACACTTGCCCCGTATACAGGTAATAACACACACACATAATACTACGGATTGCCTGATCTCCAGAAGCTGATATATGAACTCCAGGCCTTGGCCGCGGTTGGGCAATGTAGACTGATGAGTCTTTGGGACGGTCTTTTCTCGCATCTCCGTCTCCCGGTCGCACAGATCTTGTTGACCAGAAATGACATTGCGGATGTAAGCATTCATTCTGGTTCCTGAAGTTGCATCTAACATCTGATGCCGGTATAGAGGACACAATATCTCAATGCCCAAAATACCTTCGCACAGTTATTCGACATGGGTGTGATCCCCATAGTCAATGAGAACGACACTCTCGCTGTCTCGGTATGCTTCGGCTAGTTAAGATATGAAAGAAAAAGGGGGGAAAAGCTTACTCTTACAAGGAAATCAAATTCGGTGACAATGACACACTGTCGGCAATAACAGCAGCTATGGTCAAAGCCGATTACCTCTTCTTAATGACGGATGTCGACTGTCTATACACAGCTAACCCACGCCACAACCCAGATGCGAAGCCTATCGAGGTTGTCACGGATATTTCGTCTTTGGAGGCCGATGTCTCGTCTGCCGGATCTTCTTTAGGGACAGGAGGCATGAGTACCAAGATTGTCGCTGCTAAATTGGGGACCAGTGCGGGCGTGACCACAATCATTACCAAAAGCTCTAAACCGGGTAATGTCCATGAAATTGTCAGATACCTTCAGCAAACGGAGCAACTTGGCCTGGAGTCTGGAGATTCTACGAGCTCGTTAGAATTGCGCACACCGCCCCCACTACACACTCGATTCATTCCTTCGCAAACCCCAATTCAGTCCCGATCTTTCTGGCTCCTTCATGGCCTGAAACCAAGAGGTACACTATATATCGATCATGGTGCTTATAGTGCTCTCCAGAAAAAGGCTGGCTTGCTCCCGGCAGGCGTTGTGGGGGTGGAAGGTCATTTCGGCCAACAGGAAGCAGTGCGCTTGGTTGTGGTTGAGAAGATCTCGCCAGACGCCCTGAATGGGGAGTTCCTACACCATGGCCAGGAGCCGAAGGAAGTTGGGCGTGCCCTAGTCAATTACGGCAGCAGTGAAATCGTCCGCATCAAGGGCCAGAGAAGCACACATATTCAATCACTACTCGGTTATGCAGATAGTGAATATGTGGCTCTTCGAGAGAACATCTCTTTCACACAGAGTAACGACAGTCCACGTCATTGAAACGCAAATGCTTCTAACCCCTCGGCTATGTTGAGAAGGAACGATCAAGGCGCGTTCCAAATGGAGGATTAAAGATTGAAGGTGCGCTTTCGACATATTGGTTCTCTAAGTCAGTGATGCCCGAGTCCCAAATCAAGCATTGCTTCCTCCCCCAGTCACTGAACTACTAGCTATTCCGCCGCTAATTGGCGGAAGAGGGATACGAAAGTTCGATGAGTAACAGACAATTATATTATCACAAGTGCTTATCAAAGGAAGTAGAGGCTAGTCATGGATTAGATTAGAGCTTCACTCATTGTCCAAAAATCGAAACATAGATCACATTTAGTACATATATCAAAATTATTACCTGTAGTAGGCTTGCTGATTAAGATAAACTCCAAGAGGCCAGCATTGTCCAGTATAATAGTAATCACATTGATGCAAACAAACATAGTTGGGAAATGCCTGGCGTTAGGTGCAATATATATTCTCGAGCTCCGTTCTAGCTCGGGAACGCCCCATACAGGCTATCATGAAAGCATGCTAAGTAGGGAGGAAGCCTTGTAACGATCAGGCAATAGGCCATGCACGTCTAGACCTTACAGCTCAGAATTGTCAAACGCCTCAATCTTTCCATCTTTCCAAAAACCGTTTCATTTTTGTGTCTCCGGCATGCGGTGCTGGAGATGCCTGTGAAATGGAGTGCCATTAGCCCAGATTCGCAAGCTTTGAGAAGAGAAGAACAGAATCAATCGTGACAAAACCCAGCCACGCTATACTTACTGTATTCTCAATGCTAATAACGGAGTATGTTTCTGAGGCGGACAGTGTCATCTGAACAGTAGCCTGAGGTAGATATGTTGTAGCAACGGAATACGCGCTCGTTGGATATTGGGGGGTTGGTGTTCCCACCGGAATCGTACTTCCAGGCTTCTTAGCCATGGGTGCGTATCTTGTAGGTCCAGTCTGCAACTGATAGGGAATCGTAAAGGGTCCAGCCACCTGCCTCTTCCGTAATTCTTCGTGACTTTCATCCATATGGGCCGGGGGAAAGGAGTCTGTAGGGTACATAGCGGAAGGAATTCCATTGATAACCGTCGGGGAGAATGATCCGGTCATGTTCGTGAGGGTGAAGCGATCCGAGTAGTTGACAACAGAGGCATCAGGACCAGAAGCGGCAATCCTAAGGAAGCTGCACGAGGTGCAATTGTCAGCAGTGAAAGGGACGTTACAGCTGAGATCGAAACCTGCTGTCGCGTTTCATGGGAGCTATGGAAGAAGCCTTACTATGCGTTTGCATCATTGCCGTTAACCTCGGAATCAATCTTAAACGTAACTGAGTTGCCCTTGGCAAAAAGCGCGTTTTTCGCGAGGAGAGCTATGTCCTCCTGTATCAAAGACGTGGGTATTAGTAGAGTTTGCTTAAGGGGCGAGAATATTGACAGAGCACGCACATGGGATCCCACTGTGTCTCCGCCTGCACAAAGATAGAGGTCATACTGTACGAGTGAAGCAAGCCGGGGTAATGTGCCGGAATCCCTCCAGTGAGCAGTAAACTCATCCCCAGCTCTGATGACTGTGCCGGCTGCTGGGTCGATGAATTCGATATCCGCAAGAGCAGCTGAGAGAAGTGACAGCACTAAGTATACTGTACGCGCGAGTCTCATCATGGGAAGATGGGAAGATGGGAAGAGAGAAAGAGATAGAAGAAGGGGGAAAATTGGAATTTCAATGCTACCGAAAACAAGCGTTAAGTAGTATTTGACGGAGAAAGAAGATGGCCAAAGATGTCTGTTGACACACTCCCGTCACCCCCTGCAATCAACGGCATGCTGGGACGCCTGCTGTGCTACCGAAGTATATACCTGTATTTCCTCATCGGGAACTACAACGCACGGGCCACAAGCCAGGCACGAAGGCATCCAGGCACACAAGCACATGACATGTAAGGCATATACAGGCATCAAGGCAAGCACAAGCTCGGCCAGAATCCCGCTCCGAAGGTGGCATGATCCATCTGGCCCACCCGGAGGTTTCGTCGTCACCGCTGCAATCTCCAGCAACCAACAAGCAACAACTTGGATGTCAGCCCGCTTCCGGACAGGATTACAGCCCGCAGACTTGGTCTACTAATTGGCTGCGTCAGGACTGTTCTTCTAACCAGACTGGGAGAAGACGAGGGACAAGAAGTTCTGCGCTCGCGGATTGGTAGCTTCTTGGATACATACTGCGGAACCTGGGCTCGACCTGTTCATGCCCTACACAATCCCTCTTCACTACTCCCCGGATAACTGAAAAACCCTTCGTATCAATCCTGTTTATAGATTGATAAATTCACCCACCATACTTCAGGTGAGCATCTGTGAAAGATGCAATCTCACGGGAATTGGAAGACCCTTGAGGGAATAGCTACCAGTCTGCTTGATGGCAGTCCCATTGCCATTGCGGTCACAGTTTTCATTGCATTCGGGCTACCTATTCTGCTGCACTTGATCTTCTACCGGACCGTCGCTTCTCCACCCTCCAGCAATTTCCTACTCCTTGGTCCCAGTGGGGCTGGCAAGACCGCTCTCTTAAGCCTGGTATGTTCAATCTGACATGGCCTCAATGCACATCACACAATCTTATCTAGCCTTGCTCTGTGCATTCCCCCAAAGTGTAGCCTGTGCTAACAATCACTTTCCGTCTACAATAGCTCGAGACTAAATCGTCACGTGTTCCTCCCAAAGAGTCTCGGCTCACACATACTTCGCAAACGTCAACTGTAGCTACCATCAGCCTTCCCGCCTCCATCCAGACTGCTTCGAACCGCTACCGCTCTGTCAATGACACCTCCCTGAAGGATATTTCCAAGAACCCCGTCAAGTACCGCTTATGGGATACTCCAGGCCATGGAAAACTGCGGGGATCTCAGGGACTTGCGACATTGCTATCGATGTCAACATCCAAGGATGTAAAGTCCAAGTTGCGTGGAATCCTATTTATGGTCGACACGGCTGCTCTTGTGGAGGCTGAAACATTGCGAGATACAGCTTCGTATCTGTATGATGTGCTTTTAGCCCTCCAGAACCGGGCTCTTAAGAAGGGCAAGAATTCCGCGAAAGCAGCCTCGGAGATCCCCGTTCTCGTGGTGGCCAACAAGCAAGACCTTTTCACAGCCTTACCTCCAGGTTCCGTGCGTGAAAAGCTGGAGGCGGAGATTGACAGAATAAGGAAGTCCAAGAGCAAAGGTCTCATGGATGCTAGCGCTGACGCTGGAATTGATGAGGGCGAAGACGATATTCTGGGAAGTACTGACACTCGGATTAAGTTCACCTTCAGAGGCCTAGAAGATGAAATTGGGCTGACTGTTGACATTGTCGGCGGCGCAGTCAAGAGTGATGAGGGCAACCTCGGGGCCGGCGTCAGAAAGTGGGAGGAATGGATCGGTCAATGCCTCTGAACCGAATATTTATGTATGACTTGGGCCATTGACAGTGCTACTGGCCCCAGAGATGGGATGAAACGATACAAGACATTTGTTAAAAATACAAACTCATACATACAATCCAGACAGTCCATACAAGCCCTATGCGCCGGCACGATCATCACGAGCAGAAACCGGGAACCTTGGGATCATGATATACCTGAACTTTAGCCAAAAATATGCAATAACCTGCAAATTTTGACGGATACTTCTCGGAGGAGCTGCCGTCAGGACTCTTCTTGCCCATGGCGGCCTAGATGCTCCATCACCTTGGTATCTATCCAATCCCGTTACGCAAGCAGGATTCTGAGGAGAAGAGTAAGGGACAGAGAGGGTGAAATGTAAGGATATGGACCCAAAGGTCGCAGGCGAGAACCAGGTCATTTCCAATGTCAGTCGTCCGCGTCTGGCTTGGCAGTAGGAATGTAGTATTGGCCGCTAATACCATCGAGACGAATCCGATCGCTTGTAGCCAGATAGATGGCAGTGGCGGCGCTGTCTTGGGTACTTTGCCCGATGATTGAAAAGATGTAAGGGGACATTGCACCGAGAGTAAGTTCTACATACTCGTCCCAGGCCTTCCACTGCTCTGTGGCGATGTTCCCAGAAAAGAAAGCATTGACGTAGATGTTTCCAGCTTCGGAGCCTTTTTGCTCGACTCGACGAGTGAGTTCTCTCGTGGAGAGAATGTTTCCCAACTTGGAACGACAATAACCCCAGAAGCCATCAATATACGGATGCAGAGGCATCACACGCATAGGCGTGGTAAGCTGATTCAAATCCAGGGTATGGCATGCCGAGTGCAGCGAGGAACTAGTGACAACAATCCGGGCTTCTCTAGATTTACTGTACGTTTATAAGAGTGGTAAGAGCAGGGTGACCAGTTCCTGGGGGCCAATGCAATTTGCCGCAAAGACCATTTTCACCTGAGGTGATTGTTCGTTCTTGGTTGTGACACCGAGGCCTATAGAATTTGTTCTTAATCAATCATATGCCGCTAGTAGTATGCTGGTGAAGGGAAGGGTGGTCGTATATAGGAAGGTGTCATACCGCCCTTGCAAACGAGGATATCTAGTCTATTTGTTATACTTGCGGCCTGGTCGGTTGCTTCCTTCACGGCAAAAATATCGCCCAAACCGCATTGAATGAAAGTGACTCTTGTTGTCCTTGCCTAGGTTGATATGACGACGTTGCCATTCTTCTTTGGCTGCTAGGAACTTGTCGCTGTTTCGACCGAGGACCAAAACCCTATCTATATTATGAATAAGAAGCTGGGCGGTAATCTCTAGATAGACATCATTCAGTCTGACATCCTGCTTCAGGACTCGGCGTGGAAGGAGAGTTGCGATGTTCGTATCACAAAGTCGCTGCGATAACTAGGGCAGAGAAGAATTGTTTAACTCTTCCTATGCCTCCTTGACCACCCTGTTGACTGCCATGTTAGCAATAAACTCCTGGAAAACCGTGATATTTTGATTTCTCGGTTATACTGCATATTTTCTTGAATATTTCGGTAACGAAATAGTAGACTTACTGTTACCAAAGCCACTTTCCCATCCAGCGGTGGTGTGTCCTCTTAAGGAGAATTCTCTATAACTAGGTGAATATGCCTGTCATTATAGATGTCAAGTGATATCTGAAGCAAGAGAATATATACAGGTAAGAGGGATTTCTATCGTTGATAATCTTTTGGGGGCACAGTTCGAATGCATTGCTATTTCAATATAGTTACAAGATAGCGGACTCGAGACGTCATGCCGGGCTTCTGTGAGTTACGTACGTCAGCCCTACACACAGCAAGATCCCCCAACTTATTGGGATTGTTCGATTGGAGGCTCATTTGACCTGAATTATCTAGATTGCTCCAAGTAACTCCATCTCGCCCATTGCATAGCCCCCGTTATATGACTGGATGACTCGGAGCTGCGTGCCGGAGGGCATCCATCCACCCATGAAAATTAGAAAATAAAAGAAATCATGAAAATTGGAGAAATAGTTGATACTCTCCAATCGATAGCAAACCGGTTGAAAATCTAAGTTACAGTCGCTAGAATATCATAATCTTAATTACCTGAGGTGCCACTGTTGTCGTTGTGAAGCATCCAGGTGAGGAGATCGACCTTGGTCGCCACCGCAACCGGCTTCATTGCTCCTTGGTCATCTCGCTCAGTGACAACAGCTGCACTGTTCCATTCAAGGAATCGGTTGAGAACGCTCAAAGGCGTGTCCATGGTAATCTCCACAAATTTCCGATCTCTGATATGAGGCTTCGCGTTAGCACTACCGTTCTGGCCGGCCTGCGAGCTGGCAAGCCCCATATCTCTGGGATCCGTGACAATTTCCGGAATCCTGCTGAAATCGAACATGACATCAGCAACTGGGCTCTTCCCGGTAGCACGTCCATGCGTCAGCCGGCTGAGAACATTTCCAAGGGTAAGCAGTCCGACAAGCTTCTTCCCGGAAGGAGCAAGAACGGGCAGCTGGTCGAAACCTCTGTCGCGCATCATTTCGATGGCAATTTCACAGGGGATATTGGATCGGACTGTCGTTATCGGCTTCAACCTCAAAGCCTTGACCTGTGAGCCGGCGAAGGCATCGCTCTTCGCCTGCGGCTGTAGCGCTGGGAAGGATGTGGGCTCAGGGGTCGCCGACAGAAGGCCATTCGCAGCGAGCCAGTCGTCATCGGCAAACTGTGATATGTTAGAGGACTCATTAGAAGCAGCCAAAAAGTATATATTAACTTACCTTGGTAAGGTAACTTCTGATGCTGTCGGGCAGGACGACGACAACCACGTCATCCTTCTTGAATCTATTATCCTTCGCGGCTTGCGCCAAAGCGGAGATGGCACTTCCACTGCTTCCACCAACCAGAAGACCTTCCTCGGCGATTAACCGCCGAGAGTATTGGAACGACTCTTTGTCGGCGGTCTTGTACCACTTATCAACTGCCTGGCGATCCAGAACCTCGGGAATGAAATCATATCCGATACCCTCGACCTTGTAAGGCTCGTTCAGATGCTCGTCGTTCAGCGCCGCAGGAAGTGCCAAAATGGACCCATGAGGATCTGCTGCAATGACTTGGATATCGGGGTTGTGCTTCTTGAGGCCGCGAGAGATACCAGTAATCGTTCCACCAGTGCCAGCACCGGCGACAACCGCACTGATCCGGCCTTCTGTCTGTACCCAAATTTCCTCCGCGGTTCCAAGCTCGTGGGCGAGTGGGTTGTTCACGTTTCCATACTGGTCCAAAATGTGCGCATTCGGAAGCTCTTTCTCCAAGCGCTTTGCGACGCCAATGTGGGATTCCGGAGAGTCGAATGCCGCTTCGTTGGGAGTACGGATAATGGTAGCATTCAACGCTCGCAATACTGATACTTTCTCGGCAGACATCTTTTCAGGCAGAGTGATGATAGTCTTGTAGCCTGCATACTCCGAGATGGTTATTAGCCAACAAGATCCCAACGTCGAAATGCTGGTTCAACTAACCCTTGACGGCCGCAACGAGAGCTAGACCAATACCGCTAGTGATAGAAATTAGGAGTTAGGGCATCTTCTTTGAGGATCATGTGCGTGATTTGCGCAACGGGACCTACGTGTTACCGCTGGTAGGTTCGATCAAAGTATCGCCAGGCTTGATGCGCCCAGATCGTTCCGCTTCTTCAATCATGCGCAAAGCGATACGATCCTTCACGCTCCCGCCAGCATTGAAATATTCACATTTGGCATAGACGGTGGCTTCGATTCCCAGGCTGCGCGGAATCCTGTTAAGCTTGACCAAGGGAGTATTGCCGATATTCTGGGTGATTGTATCAAGGGCCACCGGAGGACCGGCCGGGGTGGTTATCGTGGACATGGTAGGTATCGGAGATAGCAGATCTTCGTCAAATGGGTTGATCGTGAGGTAAGATAATTTACGGAGCTGCAATTGAGGGCCCTGTGCGACTATAATAGGGGTATCAGAAGTAAGGAAATAAGACAAGAAGAAGGAAATTTTTTTGGCAAGGCAAAAAATCTCGTAACAGATTGGTGGTATACCCCTCCCGACGGTAGCCGTTTACGCCATGCCAACCAACCGCATTCGCCATTTCGCTCGAGTTCACGAAATTCTTGCATAAGCACCACGTGATCGCTATGTGGTCTGACATGTTGGTGTGAGTTGGGCTACATGAGACAGTATAGTTAGCATAAGGTTGTCATTATTCGGGAGTTGGATAATGAATGTCAATTGTCGACTTTACACTGAAGGGATTATGCTATCGGGCGATCTCTATCATTTCATGATTTAGCTTCTTCCATTTCTTCCAGGGACTTGGTGGAGGCAAGGTGGGTATTCACACGCACCGCCAATCAGAAAACACACTCATGCAATACCGATGACCGATAGCAGGTCCCGAGTGAAAATAAGGTACTCCAATAGGCACCACATGACCTAATACTACTAGTACTCCATACTTTGGAAATAGAGTAGGTCAGATTAGTGTTGGTCTACGTCAGAACTAGGATAGAGGTGTCCTTAGGATACGATATCGGTGACTGAAAAAAACAGCATTCTAACAGTGGTACTGGTCCCAGGAGTTCTCTCCTGCAACCAGCAATAGGATACATTCCCAAAAAATGTAGTGATAAGATAAAAATTGACATCTTCTATCGGCGGGTAAAGTTCTCGAAACTATTCCATGTGGATAATAGGCATTGCATTAGCTTTTATTCTTATTTCGCCGTTGGGGATTAACATAGAGAGAGAGAGAGAGAGAGAGAGAGGAGTATAAAAGAGAGATAACTAACTGATGTGTGTCAGCACTAAAACTATGTTACCGCTGCATTTGCTGGCATTTCTACTTAGGATACTTGGATTATGGGCCATGGATCCTGTCTAAGCCTCTGATAAATGACGGCGCAACCCTGTTCTTCTAAACTGATTTGCCTCTTGTCACATATCCATTTCAATGCTGGGGTCTGTTCTGGAATCCGCTCTTTTACTATACACACAATATTTGCTTTACCAAATCGTGTTGAGTCTTCCACTGCTTCCTTCCTCCCATTGATACCCGCACTCGTGTCAGATGGATAGTTGTAATTGCGGGATGCTGGTTACTACTATCTATGCCGTTGTGTGCTAAGTGAGTGCGCAATTGTAGATTTTGAGGGAGGATATAGAAGCCCATTGGGGGGGGGGGGGGGGGGGGGGGTTTTTTTTTTTTGTTGGGTTGTGGGGGGGGGGGGGGGGGGGGGGGGGGGGGGGGGGGGGGGGGGGGGGGGGGGGGGGGGGGGGGGGGGGGGGGGTCTATTATTCATGCATTGAGTTATTGGTTAAGCTGTGTCGAGACACTTGTCAAGCAAGCCAACTGCCGGGAAGTTTGCGGGAGCCCGCCAAGCTAGGCCATATTTACCGCTTGCTCTCGACTCTCGGTGAGTCCCCACCTGGAGGCGAGCTGCAGGATTCGACGCGAGTCAATCGTGGCTGTGTATCGACAATGCGTGAACCAGCCCCTCCTTGAAGCAGCGACTATGGTACACAGTCCATGGGCATAAATTCAGCATGCTTGGCATAACCGTATTGTCCTTGCAGCAAATCTCTCCTATCCTATAACTGTCATGGGAGACACCATCTATATCCGAAATATAGGCGGCGGGATGATAACCACCAAGCAGCTGACTGGCCTGTATCTGTTGACAGCTTATTTTTTGGGGGGGAAGTGAGCCTTTACAGCTCACCTGCCGAAGCGCCACGGCTCCATCCAGAGGCCGCACTCCGATGCTCATAGGCTCGCCAAGACTACAGCGTGGGCACGATGTTTTGAACTTTGACAACCAAGGGTAAACTAAGGAACTCAGGGATCGCCTCAGCTGAAGGGCCCGATTCTCCTGAGTGACGGACTGCACAGAGTCACTCTGGTGATGTCCAGTGAAGTACCCTGTCCAGTATTCCACAGGAATTTTGGGAAGATGACAGTTCGTAAATTCCAGCATACAATACTACCTATATGCTGTACTGTGTAGCCTCCTGACTGCATTACTTGGGTAGATCTATCTCCAGAATGATCGCGATCATGATCAGCGGGGAAAAAAAAAAAAAAAAAAAAAAAAAAGACGTCTGCTGAAGGTGGTTTATTAACTTTTCCTTCATGCAGACGGTCCCAGCCCCAGCAATTCCCCTCGTGTCTTTCCTTTCTACTAAAGGAATAGTACACAATAACAGTCGTCGACCACATCTGCAAAGCCAAGCATATTCAGCTGAAACTCCTGTTATTTCCATTTTTTTTATATGATATAGGTCCACAATTATTATCCCCCATACATAATCTCCGGTGTCCATACATTATCTTGCTTGTCTTTTACTACTCCCGTCCTCTTGTCCTCTATCCTTCTTGGCTTTGGGCCTCAAGTCACCTCTGACGATGCCGATGTGTGCCTGAGCTTACTAGAGCATGCAAACCAGTATCACCCACCTTGTTTTTATCTCACTATCGGTTTCATTCAGGAATTCCTCCGCCTTGCTCTCTTTTATGATAAAGCCCGTGTCCAACCCGTAAAAGATTGATTCTGGTCGATCACCGAGTCAATCAACAACGCATTCCCCCAGACGATGGGCTCTAATCCGGATGATGTTGGCAGACAGAAGTCACAATCCTCTCAGAAAGGAGGCCTTCCACAGCATGATGGAATATTGACGCCGGATGCTACTCGATCGGCTTCGAAGTCGCAGAGTGGTACATTATTGCCGACTCACAATGAGAAAGGACACCGACGGCACCATAGTCTGTTTCGAATCGATACCGCTGGAGAGAGTGGGCGTACTGGCGTCCATCCACTTCACTTCCTGCGCGTTTGTTTTCGGAGCACCTGTACTCTTTCCATGTTGGTGAACGTCCTCTGGCCTTTCGTTCCAGCTGCGATTGCTCTTCATTTCGCTCGGCCGGACCTTCATGTTTGGATATTTGCCCTCAACTATATCGCAATGGTACCTTCAGCGAACTTGCTTGGATTCGCGGGTGGCGAGCTAGCCAAGAAGCTGCCCAAGGTATTCGGTGTCTTGCTGGAGACCTTTCTCAGTTCCGTTGTGGAAATCGTCCTTTTCATGGTTCTGATCCACAAGGACAGGGGAGGCAATCTGATCCCTGTTATTCAAGCCGCCATTCTAGGCTCTATCCTGGCGAACCTCCTTCTCTGCTTAGGCCTATGCTTTTTCTTTGGAGGCATTGGGCGTGAAGATCAATCATTCCATGAGGCCGTCAGCGAAGTAGGCTCAGGACTCCTGCTAGTGGCAGGGTTTGGCCTTCTGATCCCGAGTGCCTTCTATTCGACTTTGAAAAGCAATGCATCGCATACACATGTACAAATCTCGACAGAAACACTGAATCAGTCTACACTGATCATTAGCAGAGCCACAGCCGTCATACTCCTAGTGGCTTTTATCATGTATGTTGTCGTGTCCCGAGATAGTTTTATGGATCTGTCTACTCACATGCTTTAGGTATCTGTTCTACAACCTCCATAGCCATCATAGCATATTCGACGAAGTCCTTGAATTCGACGAGCATTTGGATGAAGATCGCGAACGGGAAATGAAGCGGGCAAAGCTTACGTTAATTGAATGCTTTGTTGCCATTGCAATAGCTCTTGCATGCGTCTGCATGTCGGCCGTCTTTCTGGTGGAGGAAATAGAGGATATTGTGAATGAGAGAGGTGTATCAGACAACTTCATGGGCCTTATTCTTGTGCCGCTTGTTGAGAAGGCAGCAGAGCACTTGACTGCTATCGATGAAGCCTGGTAATTACATCCATTGGCGACTGTTTACTCCGCATCTTCTGACTCCGAAATAGGGACAATCAGATTAATTTTGCACTCTTCCACTGCCTGGGACCGTCGATACAGACTGCGCTGTTGAACGCACCGCTTGCAGTCATTGTGGGTTGGGGCATTGGCAAGGACATGGGTCTGAATTTCGAGATCTTCATGATCGTTTTGGTCGTTTTGTCCATCTTAGTTGTTGGAAACTTTCTTCGAGATGGCAAGTCCAACTATTTGGAAGGAGGGCTCTGCGTTCTGGTCTACGTTATTATCGCCGTCACTACATGGTACTATCCTCAGATTGTAGTGGAGGGCGAGGCTGAGGCATGAGAGGCGAAATGGACCGACTCAGTTCGGGTGGATACCAGTGTGTCAACAGTTCCTGAGCATATCGTAAATGTATGAAAGTAGACAGTAGCGGGTATTTTCAGAAACTCCCTCTTACTCACCAGGTAATTGTTGCTGAATAAACAGAGCTTTCTGTAGAACTCACAGACCTGCTTATATCCATCCGATTTAGTAAAGGTATCACGCCTAGCGCTGTTGAGGAGTGTGATGATTTTCAACCCACCAGAGTGGGATGTTGAAGTGGATTATCTGATAAGGTTGTCCTGAGGCGGCAGCAGAACAGATCCGACTCCGCGCGGAGCGCAGTGAACCCATCATCGCGACCCAACCAAAACAATCATTCAATGGACCCATCAGCGACCATTATTTCCGCTCTCAAAGATCGCGAACTCTCGATAAATCGAGACCAAATCCGATCCGCTCTTGCTGATAGGACAGAGGGTACTGAGATTGCAAAATGGCTGACGGAGCATCTCAGTACCGACACATTGTTGTCGCAAGAAGAGCTCATACTGTATTTCTAATCCCGCTTCGCAACGTACCTTTCATAGTCACTGATTACTTTGGTCAATATTAGATATTCAAAACTTGAAGACTCCGGTGCCTTGCAGACTCTTCTCGCCAATTCAAACCTCAAAGCGACTCGCCCACTTGTGGATGATGACCTTCGACGCGCCATTGAAACACTAGATGCCTCCACGGCTGCAATACAGAGACAGACCAACACGCTAGCATCGCAATATGAGACCTTAGACAGATCTATCACCTCGGATGATGAATTGGGGCTCAGACAAAATCGGGACATAGCACGATTGCGCCAGAAACATACGTCAGAAAGACAGAATATAACTGCCGCGGTAGTGCTTCCTTATGTTGATTCAGTCACAGAGCTTTGCTGAGTATATTATACAGTCTAGTGACCTGGCTCACGCATTGGAATCAGAGTTAAGAGGTGTATCGGAGCAAGCTTCAACAGACGCCAAACGGATACTCTCGTCTCTGACAGCTCGCTTCAAGGAAGATGATAGGTTAATCGCGAATCTGGAGAGGCTGGCATCCGGTATAGAAACGAGCCAACAAGATGAGAACAGTGCGAAGATAGCTTCCGAGAGATGTACTGCTCTTGCTCAGTGTGTTGCCGATGAGATCAAGTGTCGACTCGATCGGTTATATCTGGAATCGATACGGGCTGGACTAATGAAAATGCGAACTGAGCCAGCACCCACTGAAGATGAGCCGTTGGCCGCATTGGAGGAAGAGCTTGAATCTCTCTATCCCGAAATTGATGTACTGGCTGAGATGTCTACAAGACAACAGTTCGCTGTACCTATAATAGGCGAGCTAAGCAGTCACTACGAGGAACTGCAAAGTGCCTCCCATGAAACGCTGGATTATGTAAGAGATGAATGGCCTCTTTGGTTTGCTGCACTGACGCGTTCTAGGTTTTGGACGTAGTATCGGAGATGGCGTCGTCTACAAATGGTCTTGTCAAGTGCCTGCAGGACAGGGAATCTTACTGTGGAACCCTAGAGGCTATTGCTGCTGCGCACCGATCAGAGATTGGCGATATCTTCTTGGGTCCATCTAATCCTAGAAGAGAGACCCTGAGACGTTCCTCTGTACAGCCCGTTTCAATTTCTTCTTCAGCTCAAAAAGACAATAGTCGGCCGCATGATCCTCAATTGATGGCGAAAGTGTTACGCCGAGTAGGATTATCTCTGGATTCTATGCTTCATGCAGACGAAGCTAGTGAATGCGCAGTGACTTTAAAAGAGAAACGACATCAGTTGACTGAGAGTCTACATGACCACGGTAATGCCGCAGACTCGCCGCTCATAGCTGAGTTACTCCCGACAGACCGGGCGATCCGGCTTCTCTCCACTTCCTTGCACGCCGATTTTGAATTCGAGACCTCACTTGCGAATCTGGATAATCAGAGAAAGCTTTCCGATCTCGAAGATGATTTGAAGGGCGTTCAAAAGGGGCTGGAGGGACTCGACATGAGCGTGGTCCATAGACGAGATAGAGGGCGTGAGAAGTTTGTAGAGAGGTGGGGTTCGAAGGCCCTGGACGACTGAGCCCCGAGCGGCCTGAAATGCGCTTTTTAAATCATGAAGCTACGCGCTGTTCGTGCCTGCCCATGAAATGCCACGTCTACTAGAGGCACTATACATTATTGCGTCACTCCAGTTGTACTGCGGGAGAGTGATAGGTGCTGGGAAACATCCTCGATTCCATTGTCAATTGATATGGAAACAGTCAGCCCATAATTATGGGAAGAGACATGTGTACTTGGATATTTGCGCCACTTGGGTCGTAAACTTAGAGCTCTTTGTCTGAATGAAGCAGATATACCACTCTCTTGCGTGGAAGCAGAATTGATCGTCTGTTTTGAAAGGGTAACAGAATAAAACGGTTGGGTTGAGATCGGGCGCACTAATATCCGGCTAACTCCATTCCTCGCCTTTCACATTTCACTCATACACTTGAAACTCAATCCCTCTCCCATTTATGTATAGTGATCTAGAAGGCTGGCTTTCCTGTGTGCTTTTCCCAGTCATCTGCTGCTGCTACTGACCGGTGATTGAGCTGATTTCCACCCCTAGACACACAGGTAATGTGAGCAACCCAAGCATTGTTTATTGATAACCGCCCACTGACAGGTCGCACAGATGTTTCCTCCCTAGTAGGAAAACTAAGCACCGCCGTGTTTAATTCAAACCACAGGCTTTTACTTGTCCAGCCCACGCAGCCGATTCAACTCGTATCTGGTGCAGATATTTCAACATCGATTACATGCTGGGCAGTGTCCCGACCATGCGATACCTATCTGGGAAGCCAATATCAGCCTGTAGGTCCAAGACCATCTGTCGTATTGTTACCCTTGATTTTCCGACAACGTACAAGGCCTCGCGATGAACAAGGAGAGCCCGTCGACTGTTGCGAGCCTTATGGAGGCAACTGACCCAAGCCGTTCACCGAAACAAGATGAATCAATACTGGGGTCCAACTGCCCAACTGATGTCTTCCAGATCTCGCCTACGGTAGCACTGGGACTACTGTGCGCTGGTATTGAAATGCTTGTGGAATCGACCGCAGAAGGAGTGGGTTATTCTCAGGGAGCTGCCGTTCCTGTTCCCGGGCCCTTGGCCCACAGTGACTGTATATCTAGCGGGGAATCTACACCAATAAGGGTCACTGGGTTATATCGATCCACAGAAAGCTATGATGAAGCAGGTCATCACTCAAAACAGCAGACTGTGCTGTCCAAAAGATTCTCTTCGAAACGGCAGCCACCGATAACGTTGGAGGAATATTTGCTGCGTGTGCACAAGTTCTGCCCTATGTCTACAGGTGTTTATCTTGCCACAAGCATGTACATCATGAGGATGGCGACTGTCGAACGGGTGATAGTCGTCAGCCGGAAGAACATGCATCGCCTGGTGCTTGCTGGACTTCGCGTGGCGATGAAGTCCTTGGAAGACCTCAGCTATCCCCATAGCCGGGTTGCTAAGGTCGGAGGGGTGACTGAGCGCGAACTGTCGAGACTCGAGATCAGTTTCTGTTTCCTTGCGGATTTCGAACTACGAGTCGACGCGGATATGCTCGTCGACCAAGTTAGACTACTCCGAGATATAGGCTGTTGCAGTGATCCCCTCCGTTGATCTCAGCCTCGATGTGTGCGTCGAGCGGACATCGACATCTTGATTTCCCATTTGGCGAATTTGCTTTTGAGAGGCCTGCAATCGCCTTGGAGACGGCCTTTTGTAGTTCTTAATTAAACTGGAAAGGTATTCGCAAGTTGGTCAGGGGCGAATTGTGGCCTTTCAACTTGAGCATCACCTTTTCTGGGATACTCTACTACGTACCATGAGAATGCCAGATCGAAGAAGGACTTTTCATGCTTCCGATTTGGAGAGACAATCTGTGTGCACGTATCACAATGCGGCTGCCTAACTGCCCCATCAGTTAACTATCTACTAGCGACTGGTCAATTACCAGCTAAATACACAGGTGGGCTGAGTAATGCCTGCCGGGCGCAACAGTAGTTAGTTAACTGACGGACGGAAATTCGGTTCTCAGGGTGTTCGCGCGTTATATCCTCTACCATCAAATTAATATAGCTTGAAGAACCGGACTTGAAGTTGTACGCAAAGTTAAGGAAATTGCGGCGTAGTTAAAACTTGTTTTCTCGTTCAAGTCGGGGAGTTCGGATTCGCATTAGTAATAATGCAGGCAAGTTGTGGGTAAAGGTAGACCACGTCGCGAAAGGCGGAGTGGAAGGACGATCCGTCAGCCTTTCGGGAAGGGAGAGGCTCATCCCCGGGGCTTGCCTGCTGCGCCATGGTTTACTGCTACTACGCTCAGCTGTTCTTCCGCCCCCATCTAAATTTCGGTCTTCTCTTCTTCATCACAGCCTCGAAGGCCACCGTTGCCTTTCTGGAAACGACAGTACGGGCTTTAAGACATTCAGTTCGCTTCGCAATGCTCCTTTAGGTCGAGTTCCGCAAGACTACTCAACTAACTCGTGACCGCCGAACCCTTCTACAACTACGTCCTTTTTGCGGCGGCTTTTCTCTGTCTCCCTTTCCTCTCTCTAGTCCAGGAACAGTTGCGCGCGAGTTGGACTCAGTTTAGGTTAATCCCGACTATAATTTGAAATGTCTTCCGGGACTCCGAGCAGCAGCAGCTCTGCTGGTCTGGGGCAGAGTCCGCATTCCGTCCCCAGCGGCAAAGGCACCATCACTCCCCCGAAAGTGACCCAGCATGATGCGACCGTTGAACTCAAAGACATGAAACCGGAACGCGGTGGTGTCAAGGGCTCAATCCCCATTGGGGAGGATGTCATGCAGATTGCCCGTATAGGCGAGATTGCAGTTATGCAAAAAATGTTCGATGAGAAGAAGTTCCACGCCAATTACAAGGACGAAGAAGGAATTACCCCGTTACATGTGCGTGTTGCCGATATGTCCTTTGCGCTTGGCTCTTGCCATTGCTTCCATTTATCCCGAACTAACAATGCTATTCTCTTCTTCTAGTGGGCTGCGATCAACAATCAATATGCCATGTGCAAGTTCCTACTCGACTCCGGCGCCGACGTCAATGCGAAGGGAGGCGAATCTGTAGCTACACCCGCAATGTGGGCAGCTCAGCGTTGTCACTATTATATCGTGCACCTGTTACTTCAGCACGGCGCGGACCCTCTTCTTACCGACGTTCAGGGCTACAACATCTTACATCTGGCTACTATCGATGGAAATGCCTTCCTGCTTGTGCTTTTACTTCACCAGGAGATCCCGGTGGACGTTACCGATCAACAAGGCCATACAGGTTTGATGTGGGCGGCATATAAGGGATTCCCCGCCTGCGTGGACCTGTATCTGCGCTGGGGCGCTAATGCCAATGCTGTTGACGACAGCGGCTTAACTCCTTTACACTGGGCCTTGGTTAAGGGATCGTTGCCTTGCGTTCAGAAGCTCATTGAGTATGGCGCCGATAGGTTCGCAAAGACCAGGGATGGCAAGACCCCAGCAACGGTAGCGGGCGAAATGAATACCACGCGTGTGTGGTATCGTGCCCTGGACGAATGTGGCTATGACTTCGATGGGAACACGAAGGTTCTTCCCTTCGGATTGACGCCGTGGGTGCGGAACAAGAGCACTATGTCCAAGTTCTTCTTCCTGTGGCCTTTCTTAATGATTTTCGTAGCCGTCTGGATTCTCAGTAATCTGGTTGTATTCGCTGCTATCCCTATCATGATCGCAACAGCTTATGGGCTTCAATGGCTGGCCCAGAAAGTGGCGAGTCAAAGCATTTCAGAGTACAGAATACTTCAGAAGACGGTATGTCAACGACGCCCCTTGCAATGCCTCGCTTCGTTCGTCACACTGATCCGCAATCCAGCCGTACCTATCGGGCGTCTTCGCAGGCTCTTTGTTCTGGGTGGGTGTGAGATACATCTTCTACGTGCTACCAGGTGAGGCTTGCCCTGCTCTTCGCATGACATATTTCCTTTCCAATTAGATAGATTTTGCGAAGCACCAGCCAGAGTTTACTAACAATACATTCTGCCCAGCCACATATACCACAAATCCCATATCGAATATTTGTTTTGCTCTCTTCTTTTCAGCAACGACATATTTCTATTTCACCGCGATGATTGAAGATCCCGGTTTTGTTCCAAAGCTTGGCAGCAGAAATCAGCAACGAACAGTCATTGCGGAACTATTTGAGCAATGGAAGTTTGACGAAGAGAACTTCTGCGTTGCGTGCATGGTCCGAAAGCCTTTGCGGAGCAAGCATTGCAAGCGCTGCGGGCGCTGTGTTGCAAAGCATGACCAGTAAGTCCCTTATTGAGGCTGAAGTCGAAAGCCCAAACATTGACATCCCGAACAGTCACTGCCCGTGGATCGATAACTGCGTAGGCGCCAACAATCTGCGCCATTTTGTATTATACATCACATGTCTTGAAGCGGGTATAATTTTCTTTGTGCAGCTGACATACTCCTGTAAGTGTCAACTCCTCTTTTTACCGGATCAAAGACTAACGGCTACTGTAGACATCAATGTCTTGCCAGCACCTGCTAATCCGACCTGCAATGTCATTAACGACGCGCTATGTGATTTTGTACTTCGTGACACGTTCACCCTCATCCTTGATGTGTGGGTCATCATTCAGCTGGTCTGGGTCACTATGCTTTGTGCTGTTCAGCTTGTCCAAATTTCGCGGAATCAAACGACTTACGAAAACATGAGGGGCCATTCGATTGACAGAAGCTACCCAAGCTCTCGTGCTTTTGCTTCGGCTTTGGCTGCCGGAACTACCTCACTCGATGCAGCTGGCCTTTCCTCTGCTGGTCAGGGACCGAACCCAGCCCTTGCGCATGGCCACCGGCACCGGAGGGGCGGCTGCTTGAAGCAGTGGACTTCCCTTCTCGGTATCGATGCGTTCTTTGCGACAGCAAAGGATGGGCTGCGAGATGGTCCGCGTGCTTCTCGGGCGAAGAATCCCTTCTCTCGAGGTGTAGTCACCAACTGCCGGGACTTCTGGTGCGATCCGGCTCCGTACTTTGGACAGCGGGAGGCGGGATCTGGTATGCTCGGCGGTGAAGTAATCAACTACAACCGGATGTACGAGATGCCGTCACGTATGCACAGCGGCGGAAGATATCGAAGCCTGGCCGACGAGGACCCGGAACGGAATGCATAAACACGTTCTGGTGTCCTGGATTGAGTGATCATCAAGGGTTCTTACTATGCCCTCAAGAGGATCAACTAATTTCCCAGATGTCTCGATCTCCAATATGCGATCTAATGAATACCGGATGAGCCCTTTCTTCTGATGATATGTTTGACTGAAATAGATGGTCGCGGATGGTGTTTTATCCCTTCATGCCCTCACATTATCTTCATGGATTATCTTCTGCATATAAAGATTATGATATATTAGTAGATACATTTACTTTAAATCAAGGACATTGAACTTCCCACAGATATAGCCTGGCAGATCACCAAATAGCAGACATTGCAGACTTATATATACCAACCGAAAGTAAGGAAATAAATGAAGCCCTCACCTTGCTTTGTAGCTAGCTGCTGCCTTTTCAGAATATTAGAAACGGTCTCGGGAAAGCCAACGATTTTGAACCCATAATAGCCCAGCGCACTAAGTACAATTGCATTCATTAACCTGCAAACACAGAAGCGGGGAGAAGACAATCGCATAGAGTAATGTGTGACAGAGGGCGAAAGGGGAAGAAAAAGAGAGAGAGTAAATAGAACAGGGGGGAGAGAGGCCTATGTCTCAGTACGATAACCACTGAAGGATACGGACCAGTACAAAAGGGTAGTAATCGGTGGAGAACATGATGAGAATAACTGACCGTAAGTAACGTACATACAGCGTCTATACAATATTAATACATACGAAGATAATCTCCACACCCGCGCCCCATACCTAACCAAGCTTCTGAAGCCGAAAAAGCCGATGTCGCAAATAATAAAATTACGAAGTATGCATGCATGCATGCATGATATGTATTTATTCCTTTTTTCTGTTTATTTCGTGTTCGAACCTTGGAGAAAGTTTCTACTTTGGAGTAAGGGGAATGGGAACGATTGGTCTGAAACCTATTTTTCCGTCTGGTTGTGGCTTTAAAACCTTAGACCCAAAGTCAAAATGTCACGCTAAGATCTTATCTCGGCAGGTGCGGTTTGATTGATTGATTGATTTGATTTGATCGTATTTTTGCTGGATGTGGATTTCTTTTTTTTTTTTTTTTTTTTTTTTTTTTTTTTTTTTTTTTTTTTTTTTTTTTTTTTTTTTTTTTTTTTTTTTTTTTTTTTCCTTTTCCCTTTCATTCGAGGGCTGGATTCTTCTTTTTTTCTACTTTTGTATTCTCAGAGCTATTATTGTGTCGTGGGGTGCGTATGGCTTCCTCGCTTCCTCTTGTGCCTTTCTCTCGCTCTTTCTCGGTACGTAGACTAATCATGTATCTACGTACATTGATGCATACTCCCAAGTTTTAATGATTCCATCTAGGCAGACAGCTACCTACCTAATATTCCTCGTAACCGCAAGCCTGTGCGGTGGGTCTGTCTAGCTTCCACACACTTGCATTCCCGTACTTTCCATTTTCATTGGGTACATATGTTCGGGACCACTCTTCGTCACGACCTGAAAACTGGGTACTTAATTAGGACGTAGAACAGAAACGGACGTAGCGGCACCAAGTGCGCATTAATATATGATATGATCCATGGACCACGGATCCAATATATCATTATCTGATTGAAGCGGTCAGGCCACCGCTTCGTCAAGGCAAGTGGGCTCTATGTTTTATTTTCATCTGATAATGGATTGAAGAATTCACGGATCCATGGAACGGGCGGTGTTGGGCTGATTGATTAGGGCAAGGTGGTGAGGTTGTCGGGGATGGTTATGATGTTTGTTTCTTTATTTTTATTTTATGCAGGATTATATACGGTGATTGTTGACTCTGGTTTTGTTGTTTCTTTGGTGGTCACGTTATATGGGGGAATATGCGTAGTATTAATGATTAAAGTGTTGCTGCCTACTATCCAGAATATGGATACATGCATCAGATGATCAGGGTCTTTTACTTTTTGTTTTATGTTTTCGCTGATCTCTCGACATCCCCACGGATGATATTCCAGATAAACTGTGCTGTGTTGGGTGCAAGTTGCAGGTTGTGATTGCAGATCGTTCGATCTTTGGCCCTCCTGACAACTAGTAAGAGAAAGTGAGAACAGGACCCTGGAACATGGAACACCGGTCGCCGGTACCTGGCATAGCCGGCCTTGCCACAAGCGTGGACCGTTTGATCGGGTCACAGCACAGCCTGCTACATAATACATAGTACTTTCCCTAGGTTCATAGCTAAGCTAGTTTGGAAATACATTCAAGCTCGGTCTCTCTACCTGGTAAACTCAGACGCAGTTTTCTGTATCTACGTATTAGTCTTGATTTAGATATTTTGGTTATTTATTTACTATTTTTCTCCCTCGTGATATACGCGTGGGGGGAGAAGGGGATGGAGCTCCGGAGTTCGCGGAAACGGCAAGACTACTTACTTTGTACCTTTAGGCTGGCTAGCGAGTAAAGCTGGTCAAGGCTGTCTGCCTTCCTGACCAGTAAGTACATGAGTTCAGGTGCCTACTCATGATCTCTGGACAGACTGCAGCCGAATCCTTAAAAAATTGGGAGGCAAACTATTCTGACAACCTTTACGATTGGCGGGGGGAGAGGTGAATAATAATGGTCATTATTATTATAATTATCATGATAATAACAACTGTGGACATGCCACTGGCCCAGACCTGAATGGGGATCGGCGCATGTCTACCTAGGGAGTCGATTGTTCCAGGCGCCCGTTCCGGTTCCCAAGTCGCATGGTTCCGCGTGTACTGGTTAGGGATTAGTCTTGTCTCGTCTCGTCTAGTGGGCGCGTCGGGTCAGGTTGTCTACGCCAGTAGCAGCAAAGGCTGTTCATATCAATTGTTGCATTATCCAGCAATACGAGATTCATCGACAGATCGTCTGTCATATGCCTGAGAAAGTAGGAAGTAGCGTGGTGTGTTAATAATTGCAGTTGGGTTTGATGATGAGTCCCAGAGTAGGAGAGAAGGCCAAGTAATCGCCTTGACTGGCTTAGATTCTTCTCCGTTTGTGGGTTAGCTACAACCCCCAGACAGACAGATAGGTACTGTGTATAGCTACTTAAGAGCTAGATTAGTATTACGGCACCATTTGTTCCTCATGGTCTGACGATTGCACCGGAATTGCCTCCTTATCCAGCCGGGCCGGACAGCAGGATGGGTTTTCTTTCCTTATTTTGTCTTATTTCCTTGTTGTCTTCGTTATTCCCTCACCTCCAAGTCCCTAGGGCCTTGGTATTGTGGGAACGAAGGAGAGGGAAAAGTGGGGCCGCTCAGAATTATCAATCACTGATCAGGCTGTTACCTGATCGATCAAAAATGTCTGGGAATCTCTCGTTGGATGTGTTTCGGAGAGGTCCATTTCTAATGCTACCGGTATAGGTTTAACTCCGAGAAAATCCCTCGGGAACCGAGACACAAAGGAGAGTTGGTGGCAGGCATGGTCGGGGAAAGGGGGCCAGAAAGCAAACTAATTGAGTAACCCGTATACCGAAGCGAGAGGGTAAGCTAGTGTGTGCGTGCGTGTGGGTGGGTGTGGAAAAAAGAAAAAAAAAACGAGACCACACGGATCAACCTGCATGGTGCCTCATCGTAATCAATCAGTGAGTGGGGTCTCTTCATCCACCCAAGTGGTCCCTGGCAGCGAATGGGCGTGGAGAGCGGGAACCGCGGCGGAAAAACAGCGCGCCTGGCTCGGCGATGGGCGCTGATGCGGTTGGGGGATGGCGCCATCAGATAACGTGCGAAAATTTTTATCTGATCAGATTATCAGGATCCCTCCCCGACCCTCTACCAAGGTTGGAGCGCCAGCTAGTCAGTGAATGCCCACCCGCTTCAATTTCTCCTGATGAGAGTCCAATTGGTGACAATTACACCCAATCCCATCGACCCTCCTCCTGGTAATAACCTCGCTCTCCCTTTTTTGTTGTCCCTGCTCAAATGCAGAAACGCCATAATTCCCTCGTTGCGTATTACTCGCGGCGGCTAATCTGGTCAGGGCCAATTAGCCTGGTCGCTTGACGTCAGCGGGTCCGTGCTAGACTGGCGGTTGTGCGACCAGCCCACTCGCTTTTTTCTTTCCTAGGCACTTATTTTCGTCCTCCTGTCGGCTACAGGCGCGTGTCAGGGGGCCGGATAAAGTTTAAGGAGAATGAATTAACATCTGCAGCGAATGAAAAAAGAAACGTGCGCCATTAGCATGGCCTTCTTCCTAACACAATGAGCGGTGGAATTAAAATCAACAAGGACAGACTCGATGCATTCCGATCTCTATTCGTTATACAATTCCAATGTGGCTGGCTATATAACTCGCGATGGGGGTACTTGGGGAATCAGATGATGGGGTAATAACAATAGTAACAAAGTATAGGTGGTGAGACAGAAATGAACACAGATACAGTAGAGTAGATGATCGCAAAAGAAGATATCACCCCCTACCAATTTGTTTGGGGATATGCATGCATTTTTCCGGGGCATTCTTTTGTCCCAAGGGAATTAAAATGTCCGCCCTAGCGCCATCATTTCACGCGTCTAGAAAGCGGAACCCCTCCTGGGTCTCCGATCCGGCGAAAAGCCTTTACAGCATAGCGCGCAACTTCGTGACCGGCACCGTTGCACCCGCAAGCTGCTCGCCAAAGATCGACTCCACCATCTCTCCACCGCGTGCTGCCAGCACCGACAGAAGACTGTCGCTTAGCCCGTGTGTCTTCTCGTTACAGCCCTGCAGCCAGATTCCAGCATAGGGGCTGACCTTGCTGGCATCCATTTCGACCCGGTAATCCCGACTCGGCTTCCATTCCTCCTGGCCTGCCGGTCGCAGATGCTGCACGTTGCTCAAGAGCTGTTCATGTGCGTTGCGGTAGTAGCCGGTCGCCACCATGAGTGCATCCACCTCCAATATCTCCTTGCCGTCGCCGACAAGGCTGTCCGATCCATCCTTGGTCGCCCTCACGTGAATCCGCATCCGACTCTGAGGTCCATGGTGTTCGACTCGTGTGATCTTGCGTCCGGGGAGGATGCGGTGCTGCCATTGCTTCTCGTCGGGGTTCTTGACCCGCTGGACGTACATGTCGTGGTAAATCTCCTCAATGAGTTCAAGACGGACCACACTGTAGTTGGTGGCCTTGTCAGCCTTGAGGGAACGTTGGCGCTCTTCGGCAGAGAGGTTATAGAATTTGTCGACACGTTCGGGGTTGAAGACCTCGTTAACACTATATTGTTTGCTGTTAGTTGCGACCTGTCGGGCGTGCAAGGGGTATTATACTCACAAAGGAGAGTCATCACTAGGCCGCATAGCCGAATCTCTCATGATCAGTGTCGTCTTTGAGTTGGGGTATCTCTTTTGCAGGTCGTGGAAGATCTCAGCAGCACTCTGGCCACTTCCAAGCACGGCGATATTGTAGGGTTCGTTCGGGTTCTTCAGCAGGTGAGGCAGATTGGTGCAGTACTTCGACGAGTGCATAATGCGGGGGTCCTGGGGCAGGCCTGGGGGCATCTTCGCAGAGCCACCGAGTGCAGTCACCACCTTGCGCGCTCTTCTCGCAGTAATCTCACCCGTCTCAACGTTGCGGGAGCGGACGGTGAAGAAGTCGACCACCGAGCTGGTAGGATCCGTCTTTCCGGGCATCACATCGACCACTTCCTCTCCATAAGACACGACATCAGAGAATTGTTGCGCACACCACCGCATATAGTCCTCGAACTCCAAGCGAGCCGGAAGGAATGTCCCCAGGTTTGTGAAATGGATCAAACGATCCTTCTGGTGCAAATAGTTGAGGAAGGTGAAGCTGCTGCGAGGATCCCGGAGAGTCGCCAAATCCTTGATGAAGGAGATCTGCATCCTTGAACCGGGGACCAACATGCCCGAATGCCAAGCAAACTGCTTCTGACGCTCGACAAAGCAGACCTTGGGCTGCGATCCAGGCGCAGGTGCCGACTTGTTCAGACAAGGGTCCAGAGCATCGTGCAAGGCAATTGCGATCGCCAAAGAGGCAGGACCGAAACCCACGCAAAGTAAATCGTGAAGCTCATCCTTGGGGGTGGCCTTGAGCTTCGAAGGCACCCGCTGCTGCTTGGAGGGCATGTTGCGCTGGCTGTGGAAGCTCACTTCGGGCTTCCGTACCGCAGGTTCCATTGATACAGACTAGGAGAAGAATATAAGGAGTAGAAAGTGTGTGAATGAAAGAAGAGGCAGAGATTCCGTGCTCAGAGTTTGGGGAGCAGGAAGATGGAAGGAAGACGCAATGATGATGGGATTCTGAACGAAGGTGGGAGAGAACCGCGGCAAATGGTGGGAGCGATGGACGTAGTTATATCCCCTGGTGGATAAACAGATGGGGGGGAAGGACAGTAGCTTCGAACTTAGTAGACACTGGAGACCTTTGCGCCGTAAGAGGGAGAGAAAAATAAAAATATGTTAAAATAAAAACTAGGTACCAAAAAGGTAAATTCGACTAAAATATTAATAATAAAAAAAAATTCAGAATTTATGACGAGTGTAACATAAAAAAGAAAAGGGTATCAGCGCCGAACCCTTCTTTTTTTAATTTTTTTTTTCTGAAGCAGCGGATCCGTTAAGGACGGGTTTTTTTCCAGGCCACCGAGCAAAAGCAGTAGCCGGCCGTAGTTCTTCTGACAGCGGGCCGGCAATGGCCTACTTGATAGGCACTCCTCGGTTCCACCACCTGCCCATGAGAAACGTGGTTGCTGCTCCTCTTTTTTTACGTACTGGTTTAATGCTGGGGCACCGAGGCTCTTGGTGGTTGGCAAGGTATGTAGAATAGGTATTAACAATACTGAAGCTTGATCTAGCAGGCGATTTCGCGAGGATTTGTATCGTCTCCGCGTTAACGTTGGGCTTGAAGGAGAGGGAAGTGTTCACATATTAGTAGTTGTGTGACTGAGGAAACCCAACGCCATATGTCGAAATTCCAAGCATAGATGGCTGTTTCCTCGGAGATAAGATGATGTTTTATCAGGTCCAGAAGAGCCCACTTGTGGTATGAACTTGTAAACGAAGTGCTAACCATAGCCCCTCCCTTCTTCCCTTTGCTCGCCCCAGATCCGTTCACATCCTGGGAAGTTGAGGATCACGCCACAACAACCACCACCCCCATCACCATTAGCACCAGTGAAAATTCATCGAGGCATATCAACCAGTTGTACCCACGAACACTTCAATTTGCTTCATAAAAATTGAACCCAAAATAGCAAAGAAAGCAAACAATAAGCCAAGCTGCCTACTCAGTCTCCGAGCCCGAAGAGCCGACCAGGAGCCCCGCAGCATGATCCGGTGTGCAATGCAAATTAATCCAGGAAAAGTGGGATGATGGACGCTTAGATTAGATCCGCAGTCGCCCGATGTCGGGAAATTTCACAACGTTTCCAAGACTGGGCTGAATGGCGGTATCCGTATCGTATTGACGCCCAACTTACATTACCTCCTGTAACCGGTTGGATTGTTCAGGTACCAATCTTGATAAGCTTTCCCTCACTCAAATGAAATCAATACAGCTGAGTATAGACGCTTGACCGTCAAGAAGACGCTCAGGCATCAAGTTATTAACCATCAGACTCTTAAGAGTCGCACAATATCTCTCCTTTTCCCCTAGGCCGCCCGGTGACCATGAGGGGGTTCATTCACGCTACCCCCAAACCGTGGGCTGGTGGCGCACCCCAACTGAACATCCAGGGACCACTCCATGCATTGGAAACCTTTCCCGCTGCATTTCCATGTCGGCGATCAGTAGTAAGGTTTGCTGGTCAGCGGGCCTCAGCAGAAAATGATCGCATGGATACGGTGTCCCACACACGCATGCAAGATCGCAATCTGTACCGAATGCGGCGGAGATAGTCTGTACTCCTTCATCTCCTTGAGGGCTTCCTGAACCGATTAATCATTCGAATGGCTAAGATCATCTAATTGCCAAAGCAAGGCCGGTTTGTGGTGCCCATATTTGCTGGCTAAACATACAGTGATTGGTCTCAAGGTCCGGCCTGAATATGTTTTGCTTCTTCGGCTGTTGTCTGGACCTACCAGATATCACGGATTGCTAATCTACTCGGTTTGGACCATCCTCTGCCCTACCTGTTTCGGACAGTCCACTACTGTCCTGATCCCCGTACCGGCTTCGCCCTAAACAATCTACGGTTCGCAGGAAAGGAAGAAAGAAAGAAAGAGATCCCCCTCCATCGCCCCCACACCAAGGCAATACGAAGTTGTAAGTATCCCTATTCGGTAGATGTCTCATCGCCCCATGCAAGCATCCAGAACTCCTGCTCTAGTACAGTGCGGTGGATACTTGCTGTCTCACACAGAGTGACTACCCAAATGCTGCCCGTCTGACATACACACCATCCATCAGAGGGAGTTTATTAGACCTA